ATTTACTGACGTGATTCAGATTTCGCAAAAATTTACTGACGTCGTACAGTGTGTCTGTTACCTGCTTCATAAAGTCGCTTTCTGCGTCTGAATTTTTATGGAGGACCGGAGGACTGAAAAACATCTGATATGCCAAAGAGGTTACACATCGTCACTGGAGTGAATTTTACACACTGGGAAAGTGAAATAACTGAAAGTGTGGCCGTTGAATTTGACAGCAGTATTCCAGTGAACTCAAGTACTATCACCAACTCTGGTCTAGGCTTGCTGAAATAAAATAGCACTGAAATAAGTAGAAGTGCGTCAACATTTTATGCAAAATCTATGACGACAATCAGTGTACAGAAAGACAATCCAATACACCATATTCCAAATATACATTTTTCATTCGACAGGTTTTTAAGTTCTTTCCTGCATATCCTCCGTAGATTAATATTTACACACGTGTTATCTCTATCCCTGGTTTTATTCAACTTTTATGTTTCTTAAAAGTCAAAATTCCTTCGAATAGCTCACAATCACATTTCGATACCTCACTGACCTGGTTAATACCTGAAAAATTGCTGTCTGTCGGTCGGGCACAGTTACCCGTAGAAAATGAAGCTCAACCTATCGACGGTAAAACTGTTGAGTTCCGATAATAAGTTGAGCTAAGAGACTCAACCATTAATTTCATCAAAACTACGAAAACTAGGAAACATATTGCAGTAATAATTTATTTCATATTTGATTGTACCTATGAAAATGGAGCGTTTTCCATATAAATTGGTTCGTTTATACGAAAGATGCGATCATCACACTAATGTGGCGTGACAAAAAGCCGTCCAGCATAATTATTTGTGAGTCTGTCACAGCTGTTTGCATGCCTGTATCTTTCTTGTGCTCTTTATCCCTATCCCATTTTATGCGGTTGATATAGTTGCTAGTATATTTGTTGTTGGTCAAAAATGGCTGCCTTTATTTAGTCGTAGACTATCAGTAATTTAGAAGTATTGAGAATGTCATAGTAGTTGATTTTGTTTGGAGCTTAAAAGCTTACGTGCCATACTTGTGCAGCAGTACTCCATGGTTGTTTGTGTAATTAAAACTCATTGGCAGAATGGCCAAACTACATGTAAATTAAGCTTGACACAAGAAAAAAATTGTTGTAAGATTTAAATACCAATGTGCATCTTGATTTGCAGTCACACATCATCCCGTTGTCAGCCAAGTGAAAAGCAGGTAATCTGGCTTGTAACCTAGTCTATTCTTGTAACCTACACATTGCTGTACGGTCATTTAGGGAAATAAACAAAAGATAGTAGTCCTTAATGTCGGGGTAGAAGCAAACCATATAGTAGTGATAAGCCAAGCGTAATATTCAAAAAATCGTTTACAGGTGTATTCAGGGTGAAAAATAACTGACAAATGTGATTAGCCTTTAGGGGTGGGCGTTCACACAAGGATAACTATCATGTGACATTCACTGTTGGCAAGTAATATACAATCGATTGGCCGTCATGGTATTGATATGTTGCAGTTAACACTTGTATGGTTTTGTGACTGTCACTGCAGATGGCTTGGCAATTCCGTTAAATCTAGGCCAGCAAGATTTGTTTCTCTATCCAAAGCCATTGATTTCACATGGGCAGGAAACCTTGTCAACACACGATTCATTCTGCTAGATCTGGGAAGCTTTAATCCCTAAGTGTAACAGTCGATAAAATTAATCTGTGACCATTAACAAAGTGTTAAAGACAGCGTGAGACTAACACTGAGTAACGGGTTAGCTGTCCAGGACCCCATTAAAACATGTCCACTTAACACAGAATCAGCGGAAGGGTTATCGCGTAGTTTTAGCTACCTGGTACTGAGGATCTAGACAAAAGTGAAAATATCCTTTAAATAAAACAACCAAACCTTAAATTCTGCAGAAAAGTGAGCAAACCTGCATAGTCTGAGTATCACTTACCAGTATAAAAATGATGCAGGTCAGAGAACATTTGCTACCAGTATCATTAACCCTACACTGGGCTTGACTGTATGAACTATGAAAACTTGTTGCGTGTTCTATTTGACTAAATGAGCGTACACGTATTTCCTAGTACTTCTTCACGTTTATCAATGTGCGCAGACGTTGTGGCTACTCGACGCCCACAACGTAAAATCAGAAGGCACTTGTGAAGAGTATAATCGTGTATTATAGCCGTAGTCAAATTTCGAAAAAGTATCAAGGTAACGTTCAACAGTAAATTGACAAATGTTTACGAAGTACATATAAAATCGGTATGTGTAAACATATAATATGAGTATGCAAATTAGATTAAAAACGTATGTTTATAGTTGGTACAGGGGTACTACAAACTCTCCTCCTCAGGAAGAGTACAGATAGCAAGAAGAACACACCTCCATGTCGACAGTGTGTACCATTCGAGCCAAAAGGTAAAGAAAAACATTTCATTAAATAATAAATCTGGAGCTGTATCCCACCGATAAACTGCATGTTATTCTCAATGGGGGCCACACATTGCATATTTCTGAGCACGTGGCACATTCAGAGACTATGCAACCCAACATAATAACGCACTGAGACCGGTATCTGCCCCTTCATAAATATGTTTCGTTATAGCCAAGTTGTACCCAGGTGACATCTATCCAGGAAAGCTTAAGCAACTTTTCGACCGTTAAAATCGGGACATATGTTTAGGAATCGACGTCGAAATTGGATGCATGCTTAAGAAACTCACGCATCATGAGCCAGTGAGTTTGCGTGAAGACCACGAAGCGAAGCAATACAAAAAATCCTTAAGCAACACTACCACAACGAGCAAGGAATTTGGGGGCATCGTTCAAGCTTACTAACATTCCTCATTCTTAATAATTCCGAATACAAAACAGTTCCAAACTGGAATCATTCACAATAGGGTCTGTCAGATCCATCTAAAAGTTATAATAATTATATACGTGGAGTTATCTTATTTGCTGCATTAAAAAGACTTATCTCATCACTTCCATGTTTATGCGACTTGTTCCAACACTCCATGGAATCGGGGAAACTGCCAAAGGAATGGAAAAGAAGCATCCTTTCTCCGATCTTCAAGGGTGGGGATAGGCAAAATCCCACCAGTTATAGACCAGTAGCTCTACTCCCAGTGGTATCGAAAGTACTGGAAAGTATTATTGATGATCACATCAGGGAATATCTGGATAGGTCTAAAATACTCCATGAAGCCCAACACGGTTTCAGGAAAGGAAGATCCTGCGTCACTAACTTATTATCAGCTTGGGACGATTGGACATCATGCTGGGATATGAATGTTCCTGTCCATGTGATCTTTCTAGACTTTGAGAAGGCATTTGACACTGTTCACCATGACCTTCTCCTACACAAAATAAGCCAGGTAGGTCTAGGTAAACCACTTCTGTCATGGTTGAAGGACTACCTAACTGAAAGGCAATTTTGCACCAAGGTCAATCGAGTCCGATCATCTTGGCACAGCTCGTCATCAGGAGTGTCGCAGGGTTCTATCCTGGGACCACTGATGTTCTTGATTTTTATCAATGATTTACCATGCCGTCTAAACTGCCCGACTCTTCTATACGCTGATGACGTAAAGATATGGAGGGCGGTAAAGTGTCCGGAGGACTCAGATAGGCTGCAGGCAGATCTAAGGCTTCTGGAAGACTGGGCGGTAACCAGTGGAATGACTTTCAACCTGAAAAGTGCAAAGTAGTGAAGTTACGCACCTGTAGACTGCAGAATGCAAGTTACACCCTGTGCAATGAAAGCTTGTCCTGCTCAACGTCGGAACGTGACTTAGGTCTAGTTCTAACGGAGAAAATGGACACAAGCGTGAATTACACGGGGGATGTAGCGAGGGCATATGCGGTCATACACTTTACACATAGACAATTAGGTGCACTCACTCCTGAGCTCTTTCTAAGGTTGTATAAAACATACGTCAGACCGCATCTTGAAGTGCACAATATCATTGCACCCCCACTGCTTAAAAGAGACGCCAACCTCTTGGAAAGAGCCCAACGACGGGCAACAAAAGGAGTGGTTGGACTCCGAAATAAACCATATGACGAAAGGCTGAAGAAATTAGGCCTATTCACACTCAGTTACCGTCGCCTGAGGGGGGATTTAATTACTGCCTACAAAATAACAAATGATCAGAATCACCCGAACAAAGGTGTTCTGCCATTGAGTAGGTATAGGCTCCCTCGTGGAAATCCCAGAAGGATAGCTCATCAGAGGGCAAGGACCCGGGTGCGCTCCCACTTCTTTTCCCTGCGGGTTTGCCGTCCCTGGAATTCCTTACCGGCAGATGTAGCTATGGCACCATCTGTGGACGCCTTTAAGCGAAGGCTGGACAACCTTGCAGTGACACAAGGACTGTATCCAAATGGCCTATCCCCTTAAAATCGCATATACCATTCAAAGATAGACAATTAAACTGGTCGTTTTACTTCTTCACATTCCCTTCAGTCTTACTCTCCTGACAGCTTTAACTACACTTATTATTATTATTGTTATTATTATTATTATCATTATTACTGGTATATATTATATATATATATATATGTATACCGGTTGACTGACTTGTTACGTTTTCTTATTTTTTTTTCTCTGTCTGTTAGTCTGAATACCTTTACTAATTATATCTATTATTATTATTATTATCTCTTTTCCATTGACGACGATACCGAAAGACTAACTGGTGAAAGGATCAACTCCATTCACAGTAGTAACAGTCTTAACACACTTCATACTACAGACGCCATATAATTAATCCCAGCACTACTCCTGTTGGAGTCAACCAAAGCTACGACAGTCGAGTGGCGGGACGAGCTACACAGACGTTTACCAAAGATCAGGAACCTCTACCTTACAATCAAGAGGCGAGCGCAAAGAAATCAAATTGGTTTATACTAGCTCGTAAAAAGATATTGGATATTGGAAAATCATTGGAGTTTGAATTTCGTTTTGATCAATCATTTTATTGTACTGGCCGCTCCAAAATTTTGGCGATAAAATGTACTCTGTGATTTACCGAATGAATAAGCTTGCGAATTTCGTAGGGAAAGAGAGAGATGAATATAAAGTGAAGTAAGCTATCCATTACTATCACATTGGCAAATAAGAGCATCTATTTCTGCTGGAATCGCAAACAATAATTCTGTATCTTGCTATGATGGTAATTTTACAGATATATTAAGTGACAGTCGGACACTACTTGAATTCTTGGTAAATTTTGGGCTTTAAACTCATGCTTTAGCTTCGAAAGTATACATCTGAGGAAAATGGTGCTGATTTTTCTTCTGATAAATGTTTAGGAATCATTCAGTTTTTGATTCATTTAAGCTCACACAAGATTTCTCTCGACTCAAAAAATGCAAAGAGCAGAGAATTCCGGATTGTTTACAGTGGTATCCTGAAGCAGATACACAAATATTCCTGGCCTACTAAATATCAACCACGCGATGGCAATATATTCAGGAAGTTGAGATGCGTCGTCATCGATCTTATGTTTTTGGGAAATGAAGATCGGGATGTTTATGTAAGATTTTTAAAAATAACAATTGTAACTTCTTAGAATTTCTTGTCAGATACCACAGAGTATCTCCAAAAATATGTATATCCGGATTCCCAGTTATTTCATCTCACTGAGATGGTCACTTGTTGGGAGGAATTCAGTGGTGTTTTATTTTGTACTCTTGATGAGTTTGAGTCAAATTGGGTTTCCAGATGTATTCACCTTATGGTCGAAAGTTTACAGGAGAGGTCGAACCTTGTACAAATGAAAGTAGAGCTTTCACAATCAATTATGCAGGTAGGTTCAGTATTATGTAAGTACTCAGTCTGACATGCTCTGACATCCAGAGATCACACAAAGTGTTTTAGAGTTTTTGAATAAACATTTACTTGAAAAAGGCTCCAATACTTCGTTGTTTAGTTAAAATTCAGTTGTCTACCTTACTAGGAAGTAATATGGCACTTTATTTGAGATATGGGTTCATGGGGTCTAAACAGTATCATCAGATTTAGGTCGAGAAAATAATTTTGTAGGTTTTACAGATTTAGGGGTGAAGTAATAAAAATAATTTTATGTAAATACTGCCGACAACGAAAGTGTTTTACAAATGTCATTTAACTTACAATAAGTGAACCATATTATCCATTTCAGCATCTTGTGGATAGGGGTAATAGTCAAATGCCCTATAGTTATTCATGAAGTCAGAAAGACTGCAGAGATTCAACCTCCTTTTGAGAGCGGTAACATGAGATGGTGGCAGTTAGTGCACTGAAAGTTCTTCTAGATTGAAAAATCGATGTGGATGGTAAATTTATAGGTTCAAACTTTTGAGCATGGAAGTCTCAGACTCTTAACTATGTCTATCAAAACAGAAATTTCTACAGGAATCAAATTAAAGAAGTCGATTTATCCCCTGTTTGTTTAATTTAGTTTGAATCTATCACTGAGTGGCTTGTATTTGAACATAATGCTAGGTCTGTATTTGTATATCAGCTCCTAGTAGGAACGCTTCAATAGTATCTAGTGGTTAACATGTCATTTGGTTGACGGATAGCTCTTTGGTGTTTTAAACGATATCTGCCGAGTTCGGGTGACAGTAGGAGCACCATTGCTTAATGAGGATGCAAGTACATCTAGTTGGCAAGTATAATATTAGACAAAATGCATATCCTGAACTTCACTGCTGTTCATCGTCAGCTAAATGAAACTAACCTTATAGAGTTTTATCATTACACATCATGGTGAAACAAATTACTAGCCTGTTGAGCTCCGTATAACGTTTTTGGATGTCATGCTATCTGCAGCCAAAAGGATCAATTGTTCTTGGTAACTTCTCCCCATTTGTGGACAAAAATGACACTGGCGTTCTTACAACCTACTGCTAGCCTCAATTATTTTATTGATATGATGTGTAGCGCAGCTAGCGATTCGGCAACAATGTCTTCATATACTAATAACACAGGATGTAGCCTAATGGACTTCGTGGAGTTGAAGTTTGAGAGCAGTTATAAAGTACTGGTTTCATGAATGGAACATCATGGATGGAAGAAGTTAAAAAGTGTTATGAACCATCACTGAACGAAACTTGCCTAACCTATTGTAAGGAAGCTTTAGCCTTAATAAAATTCACTTATTCATAGGAGTCATTCAGGTGTTGGAATAATGTTCTAGCTTTGCATTTATGAAATCCATTCCAGGCTGAGGACAACTTCTGTTTAAGATAAGTGATATATGTATATTTAAATAGAATCAAGTTAGTTTTATAGATCATTACAAATGTCGTTATACCTTCATTTTATATAGGCAATTGAGATCAGTTGTTTGTTGTATGTTGCTGTGGTTTTTATGATCAGAGTTTCGCCTGAGTTCTCTGCTTTACATTACTGAACTATAAATTGATTGTGACAGTTAATTGTAAAAATTATGTAATATTTTGCAATGGTGAATTTTTTTTGGTATGTTCGCTTATTCGTGGGAATGCTATGTGCGTCTCCGTAGACTTATCCATGATAAAATGCTATATTACGACTATACTGAGCCTGCTTCACAAGGATTCAAGGGGCAGTCGTGTATCAACTCATTACTTCATTGGTTAAGTTAGCAGAAGAAGCATCAAAGATAGGACTTCAGGTGAAAATAGATAAAACAGAGGTGATGAAAATCCCTGGGCAACACCACCAACAGCAACAACAACAACTGGCAACAATCAGCATAAATGGGAGGAACCTGAAAGAAACAACCTCCTTTACCTACCTTGGAAGCATCGTTTCAACTACAAGCGGAACTGACGAGGATATCAAAGCAAGGATCGGAAAAGCGAGACAAGCTTTCACTACTCTCAAGTCTGCGTGGAGGTCAGCAACACTCAGCATCAAAAATAACATCCGGATTTTCAACTCCAATGTGAAGTCAGTGCTACTATACGGATCAGAGACTTGGCGCGTCATAAAGAGCACCTCCAACAAACTACAGACCTTCATTAACAGTTGTCTCCGCTCAGTACTCAAGATCAGATGGCCAGAAAAGATCAGAAACAGAGATCTCTGGGAGCGAACCAACCAGGAACCGATTGTGAAACAAATAGGCAGGAAGAAATGGAGATGGATTGGCCATACTCTGAGGAAACCATCAAATGACATCACTAGACAAGCCATTGCTCGAGTGGAACCCGAAAGGGAAGCGGCGAGTTGGTCGTCAGTGCAAGGGTGTGGTGACTTGGAGGAGGTCATGTGAAGAGGAGATGAAAACGTGTGGGCAGACTTGGAGCCAGGTGAAGACCCTAGCAGAGAACAGAACGCAATGGAGACGCACGGCTGAAGCCCTATGTTCCTGTAGGAATTAAAGGATACAATAATAATAATAATAACAGTGACATTGACTTACCATTCATTCAGTGAAATTCGAAAATGATTAGAAATCATATTAAGTGCTTTAAGCCAAGTGGTCAATAACTTAGTGTTGTGTTTGATAAAGATGTAAATATACAGAAGTGATACATATCATGCATTTCGAGTGTTTTCATAAGGCCCAGTAATTAATCCCCCTATCGAAGTTAACTCATGTAATTATTTAGTGATATTATAGCAGAATATCTTTCACAGGAGATGAAAATAACTTACTTCTGGGTGAAGATATCTCTGTTCTCTACACACCAGGTAGACATATTAAAGTCATGTACTACTGCCCAGTTTTTTGTTTATTCCAGCTAACATTCCGACTATACTGATGTCATATACACGACAGGATCTGCGAAACTGCTTAACCTCAACAAAATTCTCCTTTCGGCTTTAATATGGATAACAGATCTTCACCATGGTCTTCACTATAGATTTTTAGTCCCTTAATTCTTCAGAAAAAGGCAGCGTCTTATAGTTATTTCTACTAAAACTGTAGCTTTTAAATCATTCTCCTGTCTATCGATTTTATAGCTCTACTTGTTTTGGACAACAGCATGTGACATATTAGTATAGCATATCGCTAGATATAAGTGACAACCCACGGTATATTTTCTTACGAAATATCAAGGTGTTTCTCATTCATCTTGATAAGGTCTTCGAGTGAATTACTACAAATATTTCGTCTGTTATGTTACTTTTACTTGGAAATTAGTATCACATGAGTATTTAAGTGAATAATTTAAATTATAATAATTTCATCTGCATACTGTTTGTCTATGCATCTCTTAGTGTTTGAAATTCAAATCTATTGATTAATTACTGCCAAGTTTTTTAACTTAAACCTTCATTTTATTTGTACCATGAGAAGTATTTTGTTGCAAATATAATCCTCATTGAAATGGTAGAATTAACATTTACTTCAAGAAACGGTAGTTAGCATTCCGATGGGAAGAAGAAAATATCCCCCATCCTGACTCATGTACAATGCTTCTTACTGTGTTTGAAGAAATTGAAACGAGAAAGATAAACATCTCCGTCTGCAATAACCCTACACAGTTGGAGCTGAAATAACGATATTCGAGGCAAGTGAAATAAACCATATTTAGCAGCAATTCATATTATTTACAAATAAGAACGTGATTTAATGGTATGCATACAATAATAACCTGTAATACAAAATACTTTTGCCACAGAAATAAGCTTTCACAAGAAGAAAATAAGTGTTGATATTGATGTTTTACTCATTCTTCATAATAAGTAGCACAATGTTTCTCAGTTGACATCAAGCTCTGATGAAACTGAATAGGCCGAAATCCTGACATTTCGGTTAACTTCTTAACTCAATTTACTCACAGAACACAATGATATTTTGAAACAGTAATTAATATGTGCAGTTTCTGACACTTTCCTAGTAGTATGAGACTTCTGCCACTTTTTCATCCACGCTTCCCTTAGCCTACATTTAGGATGTAACCTTTCTGTTTTCAAAATGTTTAGTTTTAAGTTTTTAAGTTTCTTACTCCTGTTTAGCCTCTTACTAAGCTTATCTCTGTCTATTTCTCGTTCATTTATTCTAATCCACTCTAGGGAACTTTTATTTATAAAACAGGATTACGTCCACACATATAGGCTACAATGACCCATTAGAATCTTATTTAGTTAGTGGCACCAGTCTTATTAGCATGAAAAATGGTGTTAAAATGCTATAACTGTAGAGATAAAATAACTCGTTTTTTTAAAGCTTTTATATAATCAGTAAGATCTTTAACACACGTGAAGAGTTAAGCAATTACAGGATGACACAGATGTCTTTGACATTATTATTACTCACCCAGGTGTAACTGTGACGTCATAAAGGGAATTTGTATCTCGTTTGTGTGTGTGTGTTTTACATTTACATATGTTTCTCTTAACCGAGCTCCTCTGGGAAGCAAAGTCACTACAGTTGGTATTAATCCAAATTTCAATAAGAATTTGATCACCGTTTTTTGCCAAGAGACTTTTTCGGTCAGTTACTTCGGAAATGTTTGCTTAAAGTTGATAAAATTACCTGACACTCATTTTTCACAGTTCATTTCCTCTGGTTTACTTTAAGGTAGAGAATCGGGAGGAAAAGTGTTCGCTACTGGATTATATATATATGGTTCTCAACTGTCATTCGCAGAAATTTATCAACACCATTGTATCCAAATATTAACCATCATAACTACTCTCTTAAGACACGAGCTATTTTGAATATTATTACTTGGGTTTTGTAATAATTTGTCCAGTTAACATAGTCCAGTAGCCTTTTATTCAAATGACACGCAACTTTGAGCAAGCCACTATTGAACTAAATGCTTATTAAAAGAAGGCTAGTTTATGGTGGTCTAAAATAGTCTTCAAATAAGATTCAATTATTTAAATGGTTGAACTTAAATGCTCGCTGTTTACAGACCCTGAGAGAAACATTTTCGGTTAACAAACTCGTTGGTCAGTTTACTTAATTTAGTTCATTATTTCGTTTTTTACGAGTTGATCACGGAGTGATATCAGTTAGAGAACCATTGAAAACGAGGGAGTACTGGACAGCTGCTGTTTCATCCTAGTTTCGGAATCATCGCCAGTGCGCACCGACTTGGATCCGAAACCAGGACCTTCCGGTTACAAGGCAAGCTCGTATACCATTCAGCCACTGGGACCCGATTCAATGGCTTATGAATTCTAACTTCTACCAATTTGTGATTGATTAAATAAACTGTTAATCAAATACGATGACGTAGCCAGAGAAGTGTAGCCACAAAGTACTCATAATAAAGAATGTTATGAATGAAACGATAAGACGTATACCAGACGAAGTTCTCACTAATACTCATAAAGATTTGTTCCATCCTGTTATGAAAATTCTGCAGCTGAGGTATACATGATAGATTTAATTCCCTTCTTCACCTATATATATATATATATATAATTAAACTTTAGATCCCCACTACATTCCTACTCACAGTCTGCCTATAGTGCTCTAATTGTTTGAGGCTGAAATCGTATAAACAGACAAGTGATTATTATCCAAATTAACAACTCGATAGACACTGAAATTTTAAGGAAAAGGTTCGAGAATATTTAGGCAGTCTTATTTGAATTCATGAAAAGAACTTTGTGTGTGTCTTCACATAGAATGCACTCCTTTGTAGGGAGAGAACTCTTCTGTATAAATTTAACTCTAAACTGCTTGCATAAGAGGGTTCATTGAAAGAGACAATTATTTTTACCCTTACATAACTCGGTATAAATATGAAACCAGTGACTTTTCCATCTTTAGAAAATACTCGATTCCAAGGATTCGAAGAAGCTTACTTTGGAGGAAATGCATTCCATCATCAAAATCTTAGGAATATGGTCTAGTATATCAAGACGATTTAAACAGATCCAGATGAATCTCACAATGCAGTTGGACTCCGCCAGTGCTAATACTCATTCTGAGCAGTCAGTTAGTGAAAATTCAAGTGATCATTTTGGAGAAGAACTTCAAAGATCAGAGACTAATATTAGGAATACCTTTGATTTGAAGTATTTTGAATCAATTTTATCTTATGACCAACTGAATGAATACAAGTGGGATAAGTTGGTTGATTCGTGCAGTTCAGTGCAGCGCAAAAGGCCTAAAAGTAAGTAGAATCAGTGTACAATCCTTTGATTGCTTTATTTCTCATTTAATGCGACGCTTAGTTTTCAACAGAAATATTGGACTCAGGAAAAATTTAGATTTAGATTTTTCGGGAAGACTGAAAGAAGAATTGAGTGGTAACCGAGTTTTCGAAAGTTAGTCAAGTGTTTTGTCAACTGACCATTAATGTCAGACTGCCATTTAGGCTGTGTTATCTTGATAACAGCATCAATGAGGGGTACGCTTATTTTCACAAATAACAAACAAAGGCTTTGCTCTGTACAAAAGAAGTTAACCTCATTGTTAAAAGTTGTAGGTTGACTCGGATGGGGGTTAGAATATCAGCCAAGTCAATTTATTGAAGTACTTCATAATGTTGTAATCAGTGACGTAGCCACGGTCCTAACTAACAATGAATAGCTGCATATGAAACTCTAATTCCAATGACCCCGTCACTAATTTTCAGTAATAATGGTCAGACTTTTGCAGCATTCTATCAATATAGGATATGACCAAAAATGCATTATGTAATGTCGTATTTTTTTGTGTTGAAGGTGATAGGAACTATGCATCAATCGTTTGGTAATTAAACAGTGACTGTATTATGTTAGGGATTGTAGTGAAAAGCCACTAAAGTGATCAGGTCATTTTCGAAACAGTTCACTCCACCGATGTGATATAAAATTTGGAATGAAAGTGTTAAGAGTAGCTGCTACAGCTAACATCTTCACCAAAGTAACTACATGAATTCGACCCTCTGGTTAATTCATTTCTCCTTATAAAGCTGTGTCTGGTTATCTTAACTTATATCTTCCGTACAGGTTGTGGACATCAGCTCCTCCAAGGTCACAGATAAGCCTTACTTACGAGTGCCAGCAAGCACAGTGAAAGGCTCAGGGCTTTCTGTTGACAACCTCCAGTTATCTACCAAACAGGTAGTTAAACAGATTCACGACTTCCACACAAAATTATTCCTAATGCTGATGCTTAAATGCATTTGCCTGCTCTTCAGTAAGACAAATGTCTAACCATTTGATTACTATTATTATAATGCATAGGACAAATGGGGTTTTCTAATTGGTTTCCTCAAACCAGAAGGAACAATTTCTTACAAACAGAGTACATATCAGAAACAATATTGTCAGTAAATAACAATTGCAATTTGTAGAAAGACAGTAAAGTGAGATAGTATAATCATCTTCTTTTGTAAAATTACAAAATTCATTGTAACAAAAAAGAATTATGTTTGATAACTGCAAAAACGTTTTCATTGAAATTACTTTTTAGGTGCATTAAAGAAGTCAAACGATGAATCAATGAATTCAGGTTGGTCAATTGTTTCCATACTCTTAAAACTAACCTTGAAATTTACAGTGATTTGTTTGTTAATTGTTTCAAAGCTAATCTGTCTGTAACAATCATGACACGTTTTATAAATAGTTGATGAATGCATTAAGTGCCTCAGTAACTCAAGGGTAGAGTGCCCGTCAACTATGCAGGTGGTCCGAATTCTCACTGCTGATTTATGTTCTTGGATTCGAATTCCTAGGGGACACTCACTTTGACCGATATGGTGTTTATCGCAGTTCATTTAATTTATTTTGTAAATGGTATTAGTCTTATTTTACTTCGCTGTTGGATCCCTTGGTCTGCACAATATTGAATAAAGTGATTGTGTTGGCCTATGTCTTATGTCTGTTTCAAATTTGTTTCAATATTCTAGCCGTTATGTCAGAGATATTCTTTATATACGGTAGAATGAATTTTATTGTATTTTTTGCGTATCTTTCTTTGTTGATATTTCGGTTTGAGTTTAAACATATTTTGATGAAATCGCATGAGTATTCATTTTTCTTGAAGACAGTTAATTCGATGTTTCTCTTCTATTCTCTTCAACAGTGAAGTGCTACACTGTATTTGAACTCTTCTAAACAATGTTTGCACACAGTCTCTTTTGTGAGTCATTGGATTTTTGCTTTTATAGTTTAGTATTTGGTCTTTATGTGCTGATTTTCTGCATACTTATGTTCCCAGAAATGTCACCAACAGCACACACGGAAATGGCTGCCACTCCTCTAACGAAAGAAGAAATCCTGAATGCGATCAAGCTACTGAATACCAGCCAGGAAGGCAGCAGGATCAGACGTCATTCCTTCCAAAGCACTGACGACGGCTTCAGAGATTGCGGCAGATGTTCTCACTCCATTACTGCAAAAAGTTAGGAAAGAAGGAAAGGTGCCTGCTGATTGGAAGAAGGGCTACCTCATCAAACTGCCAAAGAAGAGCGACGTAGGCCTCACTCTGCAAGAACTGGCGTAGAATGATGCTCTTGTCAACGCCAAGTAAAATACTAAGTCGCATCATCCTGGAGAGAATAAAGGATGCACTGGATATAGAACTCCGCTATCCAGGGACAAGTTGGATTCAGGAAAGGCGAATCGTGTGCTGATCAAATTGCAACTCTACGCATTGTCATCGAACAAAGCATAGTATGGCAGTCAAACCTCTACCTCAACTTCACCGACTTCGAAAACGACTTCGATAGCTCAGCATTGACCGAGAAGTAATTTGAAAACTACTTCAACACTGCGGTGTACCTCAGGTCTTTTTCAACCCCATTCAACAGCTATATGATGACAACGCCACGTGACAAGTGATCCACAACAGGAAACTCAGTGAGGCGTCTGAAGTGCATACAGGAGTAAGACAAGGCTGCCTATCATCACTGATGATATTCTTAATTGTGGTGGACTGGATTATGCGTCAGACTATGCATGGGAGTGAAAAAACAGGAATATGCTGGACGACTGATAAGAAGACTCTATAAGATCTGGATTTCGCAGACGATATACGTCTAATGTCACACGAACTCGAGGACTTGCAAGCGAAAACCAACAAACTGGCAGAGGAGGCAGGCAGCGAAAACAGGACTGCAGGTGGACATAGAGAAGAGGTTTTGAAGATAACCAATCAACAGCAACAACAACCAGCGCCAATCACCATCAGTGGGAGAGACTTGACAGAGGTTGCCTCCTCTAATTATCTGGGTTGCATATTTTCAACTACAGGCGGAACGGACGAAGATGTCAAAGCAAGCCAGAATCGGAAAGGTAAAATACGCCTTCATCAACCTGAAACTAGTTTGGAAATCTTCCGCACTCAGCATAAGGAACAAGATTCGGATTTTCAACACCAATGTGAAGTCGGTTCTTCTATACGGGTCAAAAACTTGCACTGTGTGTCACGAAAAGGATTTCCAATAGGTTACAGACTTTCATCAACAGCTGGCTTCACCGGCTTCATAGTCAAGATCAAATCTCCAGAAAGAATAAGTAACAAGAAATTGTGGGAGAAAACCAACCAAGAGCCGATCGCTCAACAAATTTTAAGGGAAAATGGAGATGGATCGCGCATACATTGAGGGGACCGTCGATTGTCATCGCCTGCCGGGTCATCGCTCGAACGGAATCCCAATAGGAAGCGACGAGTGGGTCGTCCTAAAGGGACACGGAGGAGATCGTGTGAGGAAGAGATGAGAGAGTTTGGTCAATCGTGGATCCAACTGAAGAGGACAGCGGAAATCAGAACAAAGTGGAGATGTGTAACTGAATCTCTATGTTCCACTCGGAATGCAAGGGAATAATAATAATCAATGCTTCCAGAATTCTATGTTTGTTCTCTTGATTAAGACACCTAAGAAAGGAGTTATGTTGTCTGTTTCTTCTTCTCTTGTGAATTTAATGTCTTCAAATATGTTGTTGATTAATTTGTGGATGTATTCCAAATCACTTCTTTTAATCAATACTAACGTATTATCAACATAATGTATCCACAATTTCGGCTTGAATATAGGTAGAGCTATCAATTTTAGTCTTTGCATAATGGCTTCAGCAATTAGTCCTGATATGGGCGATCCAATTGGTGTTCCTTTTATCTGTTCGTATATCTGACTGATGAATTATAAATATGCTGTTAGGCATAATTCTATGGGTTTCATCCAAGCTGAACATTTCGCTTTTGTATGTTTGTCACTATAAAGTAGCTGTTGCACAGTTTCTCCCGCAAGTTTTGGAACAGCTGAAGTACACAATTCTGTGACATCAAAGGATACCATGATTTCATTGTTGTCTACATGAATGTCTTTGATTTTTTATGAAAATTGGGTGAATTGGTGAGTTGATAGAATGGTCACATGATTCCGTTAGACATTTTAATTTTCTGAAAGTTCTTTGGACAGATTATATGTTGATGGTCCTAGCAGCGAAACTATTAGTCGTAAGGGAATGTTTGGTTTGTGTAGTTTCGGTCTACCATAAAATCGAGGTAGAACAGGTCCACTAGATTTCACTCACCCTTAATCTTGTTTTGTAATTTGTCCTCATTTCGTTTAGTTTATTTATTGTTGTTCTGATTTTATTATCTAATGCTTGTATAGGGTTTTTCGTCGACTGTTAATTATTGATTGACTCGCAGAATGAGAGAGTAATTCACTTTCCTAACGGATCGGATTTTGTTAGTCGAATTAATCAGTACAATCAGATATAATTAACTAAATAGGTTCCCTTGAATATCTATCTGACTATACCTTTATGTTAATGCTTTTGTGAATAAAATAGATTCATTTCAAGTGACCTATATAACTAATCGAATTCTATTCTCAAAGGGTGTTTGCCAAGTGCAGTCGAGAAATCTCAATACCTACAACTTAGACCTCATCTAGTGTCTAACTTTGGACTTTCTACACTATCTTTTCTCTTTGGAAGTTGACAGAATTTTGCAATAAATTTCTGTAGGCAGACTGCTTTCATCAACGTGGTAAACTTATGAATATTAATGTATTTGTTCTAATGAATGCCTAGTTTGCAGTATATTCGATCATAAGATCATAACAGGTGTGTATCTTAAAAGTTTGCTTTCATTCCAATATATTGGCTGTATCATTCATGAGGGTTTGCAATGATCAGAGTCACTAGTATCGAAGCACCTCTTCTGTATAAAGAGGGGATATCCTAGTAATAGTTAACTGAAGTACAGAACTGTACCTATTATCAACAGTTAGTTTGGATCACCCTTCCGCGCACAGAAAATTATCCTTAAAATCTGCAACTGAACTTTGTATTTTATTAGCTATGATATATATTCACTTAGTTCGGTAGCTTAATTTACTAGACACATGTGTTTCTGCTGATTTCGCTGTGTATTCCCCTTTTGCTTTCACAGACAAAATAAACGTAACAAGTGAATCAGAGACAATATTATGGCAGCCTGTTTACACAATGAATACATCCCTAATGAAATCTCTAGTTAATTATACATTGCAGTCACTACAAGATTATGCCAATCAACTACAGCTTGCATCTAATCCAACTGCAGTGAATCTAATGAACAGCAGTAAAGAAGAAGGCTTAAATCGATGCAAAAACAACTTAAACACAGAATATTATAATTGTTTGAATTTACTGTTACAAACACCAGTGTTTGCTACATCTGTTCATGGGCCGCTATTCAATGCCTCTGATGTATCTATAAGTGATTTTTGGTGTCACAGAGAGAAAAATATACTCGATGAACAGTTTAATCCTGGTTTGACTGCACAAAATAGACTGTGTTCATGGAATGGAGCTGTGGGAACCGGAGCAGGATTACCAATGCTTGAGATGTATATCAGCAGTGTATGTGCTATTCTTATTTGTCAATCAATTCATTTTTCTGTTGAAAGCTTTTTATGCATTGATGTATGTATGAACGACACTGCTCAGTTGTTGAGGACAAGGTAGGTGGAGTAGGCTTTGAATTATGAACCCACTGGCTGAAAGTCAGATGTTTCAGTCAATGATCCATACCTCTAGATTTTTCAATCGATAGGATATTAAAGGCTTATTAAATGGATTTTGAAATCATATTTTCAGCCAATTAAAAGTGTCTGTTTCTATTCAGTGTTTCAATGGAAGGACTATGAAGTAGAGAATAAATTCGAAAATCCATTGAACTAATTAATTTCCATCATAGTTAATTATTTTTATGGTCTCACTGGAGTAATTGGTCTATGCTTGGAGTTGAAGTTTAGTCCAGCATTTGGTTTAATTATTTCTGTATATTTGTTAGTTGGCTACAGTTCATATATATCAGCAAGTATCTATGATGCGTTAGGTATTTTGTTTAATCCCGCTTGACTAACCAGGTCACGTGGTTTGTTCTTTGAGTCTTCAATCTAAAAGTGTAGTGCAATTGACATGAATTATCGAGAAGTGCACACTTAATGTCTATGAAATCTGTGGACGCTTCAGAAAGTAGAACGAAGCATTTGATTATCATAATGCACCCGAAAAGTATGGAAATCAGGAAATCATTCCTGAAATCAAACCAATAACCATAATTACGAATGGCTCAGAATATAAGTAAAGCAGATATTCTGAAGACAAACACACCCAGCAGAACGTCAGTAGTGGTACAGAGAGCGTAACAATTGACTGTTTCACAATGACAACTACAAACATTTTTACTGTCGAACTGTCAGACAGTTTCATATTTAAAGGAGGTTTCATGGGTGCGTAGGGAGTGTGTTATTTTCATAAGAAGTAAAAGTCAAAGTTCCAGAAGAAGACTACAGTTCTCACTTCATTTGGTGACAGCAGGGAGGAAGTAAGAAAATCTACACCAAAATGGTAGTAATTTCACTATAAATAATAATCTGTCGAAAAGCTTTACACACCATTGTTGTAAGTAATAATAGTAATAATGGCCTTATTCCAAACAATAATCTTGTTATGGCACGGATTTCTCAGCATGTAGTGTAATATTGCACCTAATGTTCTCCTTACATTACATAGTAAAGGGAAAAATAATTAACAGGCCATTTACATTCACAATAATGTCAGTAAGAATATAAATCTAAAATTGAGTAGAAATGTTTACAACAATATATGAATAACAGAAACAATAAAGGGAGCCATTTACTTACTGTTTCTCAATAAGGTAGTAGTTTTATTATGATTATTATTGTTTCCTTTAATTCCTACAGGGACATAGGGCTTCAGCCATGCGTCTCCATTGCGTTCGGTTCTCTGCTAGAGTCTTCACCTGGCTCCAAGTATGCCCACACGCTTTCATCTCCTCTTCACATGACCTCCTCCAAGTCACCCTTGCACTGACGACCAACTCGCCGCTTCCCTTTTCGAGTTCCACTCGAGCAATGGCTTGTCTAGTGATGTCACTTGATGGCTTGTTTCCTCAGAGTATGGCCAGCCAATCCATCTCCATTTCTTCCTGCCTATTTGTTTCACAATCGGTTCCTGCTGAGTTGGTTCGCTCATTGCCAGAGATCTCTGTTGCTGATCTTTTCTGGCCTGTCATCTGATCTTGAGTATTGAGCGAAGACAATTGGCTGTTAATGAAGGTCTGTAGTTTGTTTGAGATGTTCTTTATGACGCGCAGTGCAAGTCTCTGATCTATCCGTATAGTAGCACTGACTTCACATTGGAGTTAAAAATCCGGATCTTATTTTTGATGCTGAGTGCTGTTGACCTCCACACAGACTTGAGAGTAGTGAAATCTTGCCTTGCTTCCCCAATCGTTCCTTTGATATCTTCGTCAGTTCCGCCTGTAGTTGAAACGATGCTTCCCAGGTAGGTGGGTGAAGGAGGTTGTTTCTTTCAGGTTCCTTCCATTTATGCTGATCGTTGTCAGTTGTTGTCGTTGCTGTTGGTGGTGTTGCCCAGGAATCTTCATTACCTCTGTTTTCTCTATGTTCACCTGAAGTCCTATCTCCTCTGGATGCTTCTTCTGCCAACTTGTTGCTTTTCGCTTGCATATCTTTCACTTTGTGGGAAATCAGACATATATCATCGGCGAAGTCCAGATCCTCCAAGTTTTTTGTGTGAGTCCATTTTATGCCTGTTTCCTCATTGCCCGCCGTTTGTCGCATTATCCAGTCTACTGCAATCAGGAAAATCATTGGCGATAGTATGCAGCCAGCTTGTCTTACTCCTGTCCTCACTTCGAAGGATTCCGTAAGTTTCCCGTTGTGGATTACTTGGCATGCAGCATTGTCGTACAGCTGTTGGATGAGATGTATAATTGTCTGTGGTACCCCATAGTAGCGAAGTATTTTCCAAATCACCTCTCGATCGACGCTGTCAAAGGCCTTTTCAAAGTCGATGAAGTTGAGATAGAGAGGTGACTGCCATTCCAGGCTTTGTTCAATGATGATCCCTAATGTGGGGATCTGATCAATACATGACTTGTTTCTCCTAAATCCAGCACTGACTACATTTTCATGCTATCTGACACTTAAAACTTAGTCTCTGGATACTTAATTAGCTATGATTTTCGTGAGAAAGCAAGGTTGTATAATGATGTCAGCGTATGTATATGTATGTATCACCAGTCGGCTATTGGGTAATACTGAGTGGCTTATTGTGTAGTACAGATTAATTTCTGAACTGTATGGACCACAATAATTATAAGCCCAATGGGCTGCTTGTTTTGCCTTGTCTGTTGTTTCAATCTCCACTGAAATGGATTTGATTTCATGTATAAGAAGTTCTATCAAGAAGGTAGTGTCTTCTCATTTTAAGACTTATTCCCAATATTTAAGAAAATTAGATTCTCTTCTTCTAAGTTAGACCATGGGTTTATATCAGTTAGAGAACCATAGGAGACAAGACAGTAATGGACAGTCGTTTCGTCCTAGTTTGCGGTTCTTCATCAGTAACCGCATATTCTACCACCGAGGACCTTCAGATTACTAGGCCATCTAGTTGACAATTGAGCCACTGTAGCACAATCCAATGACCAACCCAATAATCCTAACATTTGCCGATTCGCGATATATGCCGAGCGATTCTGGGGACATCACTCGTACCGAATTCCCATGAAACTTCATGAACTCCCTCACAAACGACTCTCACCATGATTCGAGATGTTCATGAAGCCGGCTCATCCTCCCGTAGGAGATAGCCGAAGTAAAGTAAAGTAAAGATATATGACACCACGGCCAGCCAATGCCATCAGTGGGTATTTGTCCTCACACCTAACTCCACTGGTCACAACTTCTCACTAGAACCCCAGGCAACGTCGTCTCGTTGTCAGTCACTATTGAGCATTAGATTAATTTTCAAGTTGTGGTTTGCAGGGATTTGCCTCATTTCTAGTTACATTATGGATTGATATCACCGGAGACCAGGAAGTACGTCGTTTTCTTTCGGTAATGCTGAATTCTGCATCCTCCAAAGCCGCTGAATATTCCTATCAGAAAATGAACACTGATTCACAATTAAATTCGCGGAGTGTAGTACAAGTGATAATGTACGGTGAACATGTTTAAATTGAAATTAGATTTCGCTGTAAAATGAGGCTCAGTCATTATTTGGCTCCTATATACCACCTCATTTGGAATGAATTCGTTGATTTATAATCATTTTACTCTTTTTTACAAATTAGCTCGTTCTCTGAGATAGAGCTTTGCTTTCAGATATCTCACTCTTACACTAAGTGTTGTTCAGAGTGGAACTTCATTCACTTGTAAAGTCTTAATGATAATAGGGTCTGGTTTGAAATATAAGTGCACATTAGCCAAAAGTTAAGTCGGACTGCCAACTGCGTAACCACATATAGCTTTAACTACTCATTACGCCTTGTGATTATTTAATTTTCTAACTGATATCCGATTTATCCTGTTATTATCATGCCTATAAATAATTTAACTCTATTCTGCTTTTATTTCTTCTATATTTAGTCTGTACAGAACTTTATTGCTTTCACCCTTGAAATTCTCTTGCCTATGATATTAAATCTCTTGCAAGTTGATGTCAATGAGCAGAAGTCAAAATTACAATCAGATGACAGTCAGAATGCAAAGAATGAATTGAACAACACAGATGATAATGTTGACGCTACTTTGAATGCAAATGAACCTGTGGATGATAATTCCAATGATGATAGTCTGCGTATTTCAATTCTTTACCTAATCAATGTCTTACTGACTATTTTAAATGGACATGGTATGAATAAGTTACCTGATTGTGGTGACAGCAGTGATGCTGATACTACTACTGATAGTGAATTCGGTATCAGCAGTAGTAGTGGCGCAGAATTTGTTGGTTTAACCGCACAACTAAGTACAATCACTTTGTCTGTTGACTGGGATTTCAATGGAATCGAAAAACTGGCATTGTGCATTTCAGACTGTTTAAGTCTACGTGCGTTATGCAGCCTGTTGGCGTCCATATTTCAAAAGCAATACGAAGTGTTGTTTAAAACATCCAAGTTTAATAGACAGGATAATATGTAAGTGTTTAAATACTTTGCTGTCAAATTGATTAGTATGCAAAGTGTAGAGGCATTTATGTGCACATAAGTAATATTTATTCCTATATTATGTGATTTATGAAAATCAGTAGTACGATATAATCTGAGATAGCGGTCAAAAGACAATTAAAAGAGATGGCACCTATAACTAGTCAGAAGACTAATTTAATGTGTGATATGATCATCAAGTGAAACTATTGAGGATTTCTATAGTTAGTTTGCATATTTGTGCATCAAAGTCTCTAAATAAAGTGCTTTGGATTTCTAGTGCTCATCAGTCAGTAACCCGGTGGCGCAAGCGTCTAAGATCCTCGTAGTAAGTTGGAGTATGTGAGTTCAACTAATCAGTATGCGTCAACTGTATCATTAAAAGAACTAGAAAGTGTTTTTGTCCTATCAGTAATTCAATGAAGACAAATTATCTTCCAACCTCGAAATGGGTTCAGTGATTTAGTGGTCTTAACTAGTGAGAACTTTATGTCAATTATCTGTGCCTATTAATCATGGAATTACAGGACAGATATATGCCTATCAATGTTCAGTAACTTCAGTGATTTTTAGGTTAATTTGCACTTCCCGTTGATTGATTATTTTTGAAAAGAATGGATACTGAACAAAGAGTACTCTTTTCGATAAATTCATCATCAGGCTCTACAATTATATATATATATATATATAATAGTGAATGAATGAATTAGTGTTAAGAACGACATTAATGTTGTTTAAATAACATCGAATCAATAATATTGATACATTACAGCTGAATAGCATCAACATAAAATAAGCTGAATGTCAGAAGAATTAGAAAAAATAATATTACAAATTCATGAGTTTATAGTTTCTACTGAGGGCCAGGCCAGTAGTAGGGCTGGACTTGTTTCTTTTGAACACAGAGCACTGGTTGTTTCACGCGAATTGCAATAGCCTCTGCTGTTTGAAGCATGTGATACTTCGATGTTTCTGGCAATTTATTTGGCACCCGGCTGATGATAGAGAAGGATTCTTCAATGCTGGCTTTGTGGCCAGTTCGCACCAGATGGTCCAATATCGAACTGTTGATGGATTTTACTAAACCTTCACTTAGCCATGCTGGGAGATGTTCTCCAGCTAGCTTGAAGAATCAAGTTCCTAGAGCAACGGCCGATATAACTCGCTCCACAAGCGCAGTTGAATTGATATATACAATTTGAAGTGGCTAGTCTAGGTACTTCATCTTTCAGTCGAGGTAGCACCATCGGTCATGTAGAGAATAATACGTGTAGTTTGCCAGCATTAAAAGTTCTTTGAACTGATTTTCTTAATTTCCTCGTAATTATCTCGCTTGATACATCGCCCATGGATTGTAGTCGTGTATATAAAGGCTTCTTGTTTACAGACAGTGAGTAGTCCTTTTCCGCTTTCTTTGTCATGTGTTTCTTGATAAATTTGTCGGGATAGCCATTTTCGATCAAAGTATCATACCCAATGCTTAATTCATCTTCAATTACTTCTTCTGAGCATATAGCTCTAACTCTGTGGCTGAGGGTCTCCACTAAATTTCTTTTGTAATTGATAGGAACGAAGCTGCGAAAATGTGTATATTGTCCTGTCCAAGTGCTTTTTCTATGCAAATTTCTTTTTATGCTAACATCTGATTTTTTTGTAAGTAGGACATCCAGGAAGGCAATTCTGTCTTGAGATTCCTCTTCGCCTGTGAATTTCATAGCCGAATGTACTTCATTGAATTCAGTAATTATTGTACTCCTATCAGAACCATTATCACAAAGAATAAAGGTATCATCCATATATCGGCAATAAAATGAGAGCTTACTGATAAGGTTGTTCAGAGGTCCATTTTCTAGCTTACTTAGAAAGAAATCAGCCAGAATGGGACCCAATGGGGAGCCCATTGGCACCCCGTCCTGTTGCCTGTAAAGCGTGCCGTCAAATTTGAAGTTTACATTCACGGTACATCTTAATATCAATTCTTTTAGGATTTCAATATGGATTCCAATGTTTATCGACTGCTTGTCCACTTGTTCACATATACAATTAACTGTTTCTATTAGAGGTACATTTGTGAATAACGATATTATGTCCAGAGATATCATGGTTTTGTCCTTGATATTAATATCTTTTATTTTGTCTACGAATTCAAATACATCTTTGACGCTATATTTCACTATCTTCTTATGCAATGGTTTGAGAATATTTACTAACCATCTAGCTAGAGCATGGTAGGGCGAATTTCGCATATCAAGTATTGGTCTTAACGGTACCCCTGGTTTATGCACTTTAGGTAGGTCATACAATCTTGGCGTATACGTGCCCGTTGGTCTGATTTCTTCATATAAAATTTCAGAAATTATCTCATTATTTTTGACCTAAATGATGGGTCTCTGTTGACATATCAGCTCATAGGAAGGATGGTCCAACCATATCTGAGGAGTAACATGGTGTTATTCTGGTTGATAATTACCAGTAGTAGAATCCACGATGCGCATTTCGTCCCATTTGGGACTCGTCACTTGGATGTACCTGCATTCTCCAGTAAGTGATTTTGTTCCCAAGGAGATTCAAACTATCACTCACTTAGAAGGCAGATACATCCAGCTGACGAGTCGTCTGAGATAGAACGAAGTGATCATCCTGGATTCCACTATTAGTCGCCATCATCAAAAACTAAGTGATGATGGAGGGCACTTAAGTTTTTATTTTATTTCAGAATTGACACTGTAACTATTTCGATAACCTTCCCTCTATTGTTCTTTCTTCAATACTCCATAGAGCTTCCCATTTCTTAGGATGTATTAAAGAATATGATGTATCGATACGTTTATTGAGTGAACAGATTACTGATATCACTTTGGTATATTATTACAAAATGGGTTTCACCATCGGTGAGGATTTGAAATGTGTAAACGAAGTGAAATTACTACTGCCTAGTCATTTCAGTTTACAGACTGATCAAGCTGTTATAGGACATTTAAGCAAGCCTATTCACTTGATGTGGCTTATTATTTCCAATTTATGGTCAATATTAATTCACACATGTCCTGGTGGTTTAGCAAGACAAATTTTGGCACATGTTAGTTCAAAGATTCTTGAGTCTGCAGTACAACAACTTCACATCGCTAAAACGAATTCCAACTCCGATTATACTTTACAGTTTAGGTAAGTAAAGCAATGTTCAAGTGTTTGAATGCATATTTAAATTAATTTTTAATAAGTGATTGATTTTAGATGGTTGGAGGCAATCAGTATAAAGCTATGAACCCCGCTTTTGTGTTTGTTGGCACTGGTTAGGAAGGCGTATCTGCAGTCTTGAAGGAATTCATATTCCCTCTAAGATTCTAACCCGGCTCATCCTGTGCCTCAGTCAGAGACGTCACCACTGAGCTGCTCAGGTTAGCGATCAACCTCTTGTATGACTGTAATGGATACTCTCCACCAAACGAAGGACTGGAGGCATGACACTAACTACTAACTGGTGTCCCATAGAAGTAAGAAGAAGTTGACATGTCATGTGAATTAAACGATGGAAGCATGTCTGATTTTCTTGTTCAGTAATATTCTAACTAACTGTTCTTCAGAATATTAAGTGTACTGAATTTGAGTTTTAGTTAGGTTTCCTCAGGGACGTTATTCAGATGAGAAACCTCAGTAAAACCAACGACCAATACATTCTAGCATACCGTGTGACTGATAAAGTATTTACGACACATTCGGACAGTTCTGGAGACGGTCGTCTAGGGAAACTGAGAGTGCATACTGTTGAATAGTCCCAAACTACGGCGAAATAGTCTGCCATCGCTCTTTGATTCTCCACTGTAGTCGAAATGATGTCATTTCTCAACTGAATATGCATCAATTATTATTATTTCCAATTTCTCTTCATTCTGAAGTCCTTAAGACACTTATTCTCTTTTGTAAGTGATCACTTAAGGAGGTTCCAACACAAATGCATAAGAATGAAACCTTTCATATTGAAAAGTTGAAGAAAGTTTAATTCTGTCTGAGTTTTCATGAGGTGATTTCAATATATTTGAGTTAGATGCCACGATAATTTTCGTTCTATTCATCCACTACGAAAAATTTGTTTTAATTTTAGAGATGAGTTATGGTTTGTCCTCGGAATTGCGAAATTTGTTCTTTATCGATGTGCTGAAACAATTTCAGAAGTACTTGGATTAAGTAATCTATCAGTTGAAATGAACAGTATACATACAACAGCTTTGCTAACCACTCAAATGTTGATATCATGTTTTGCTCCAAGGGATTTATGGAATAAGTGAGTGACTTCTACGTGAATGTCTTTTTCTAAATGACCATTACCGTCTAACATCCTCTCGAAATTCTCTTATATGGCCACAGGTATATGCCCTCTGTCAGGCGAGTCCTATACACTGCCTTCATGCGTTGGATGTGTTCCTTACAAAAGAGGAAGAGCAAATGCGAACCTCGGTTGCTTATGACCTGACTGGTGGACATGCCAGTCTACCTAGAAGAGTTGAAATGCCTTGGTTCAAAGCCTATGGTATTCATGAGTCCCAGAATACACAAGGACTGAGTGACGGTTGAACCTGTTTTAGTCACTGGAATCCATGAGGACATTGCTCCACTGCTTTGTAGATCAGACTTCGAGTCGGATTCTCGCGGGATAACCGCCTTAGTCAACCACCTGCTCCAATCTGATAATCCAGGCATTTTCCCAGTCCTCGAACAAACTATGAGATTTTGTGTGTAGTATCTCTATGTTCCTATAATATACCAAGCTTGTGTTTAATTATAATATTGCATGAATTTAAATAAAGCAAGAACAACAGCGGTTTGTGCAGAATAATATGGTACCGTCATTTATTTCGTCGGCTTCTCATCAGCTGCTTACAGCCTAAATAAATTGTGAGGTTTACGTACAGAAAAGTTTTAACATACTTGGAAATTTTTACATGTTGTCAGTTGACAGAAAGTTCCAAAGTAAGTGAACAGTGCTCAGAAAATTGCGCTTATATAGTTTTTACACAGGCAGTTCAAGTTTAAACAGAATAGATGTATGCATGCAATGGTAAAGGAGTTACGTAATAAAGACGAGGGGTGAGTAAGATGGTGAGTAACTAATAAATTTGGTAACGATGTACTGAGTTCAAATCACGTCATAGAAACAAGAGACAAACAAATTTCAGATTTAAAAAGAAAAAAAAAGGAGGGGTGAGGTTAAAGACAAAGATTACGTAATCAGATTAGAGAATAAGGACATCCAGTTACCATGGCAAGGAAAGACTGATAACTGCTTCTTTCTGAACACATAAATCTGGTTTGAAGCGTTTGATAGAAATTGCTTCGGCAAACTTGGGGAATAAATGCATGAATATTGCATGACCAAAATAAAGTAGTGAAAATGAACAGATAGTTCAAATATGAAGCTATTGATTATGAGATGCTCATAATCTCTCCGAAGAGAATTATTTGCTTTAAATGAAAAGGAAAGCTTCTCAAGTAAACTACTTGCCACTGAAAACTCGCCAACAAAATAGCTAATGAGTCATTCCCAACAGTAAATAAGTGAACGAATAATATTTTCTGATTATGTGTTACAAAACACCGCACCATTTTAAATTCTTCCCAGTTTACATGGAGTTTCTACGTACAACCTAATTCAGATAAGTCGTAGATCAATGGTTTGAGATGGTTTACAAGTTTAAATCAATTGAAGTAACAGTACAGTTGAGACAAACCAAAACGCATGTCCAAACTACAGATGTTGACTACAACACAACTGTATGTCTTCACACCATTTATAATATTCAGAATACCACTTTCTAGTTATTTACTCAGAATCCTGTTGCTGAATTGTTCATTGAGTTCGATTTAAGACTGATTGATTTATTTCACTTCATGGGACATGGTTTCTTCTTAAAACTTCGTTGATTTACTAACTTTCAGTGTTTAAACTAAGTAATTGGAGTTTTCCACATGTTTAGGTCATCAGTTTTAGAAAGCGAAGCAAATATACCCCCACTGAGGTAAAAGGTTCATTAAATCTATCTTTTAGTTACAAAGAGTTTGAAAAAGTATCAGTCGAATAACGAATTCTGTGGTAGAACACAGTTTTCAAATTTGGAATGAGGTTAAGGTCTGCTTCTAAGTCTATATGCAGTCGTCTTGTTTGTGTTTGTGTGTTTTTCATGTATGAATTATTTTTTGAAGTCATTCAACATTATTTCCTTCATCCTGGTTATTTACAAACAACAGACTTCACGAAGAAGGATTTTACAATCAAATAGCACAAGATTCAAGTAAAACATTCGATTTCAGTTTATCCAATTGGTTGAGAATCGTGGATCCATCGATATTCACTGATATTCCTATACATTTAATGTAAGTAATGAAATAGAGATGACTCGCTTTCATGATAGATTTATTTTATTGTTAGTGAGTTTATTACTGGTAATTATTTAATCTGGTTTTTCGTTTATAACAACAACGACAACAACAACCGAGTCCTCGATGGGAAACTTTTACTCCGTTTCGTTAGACGGTATAATCGAAGTTTTATCTATGGAAGAAATTCGTAGAAAGAAAAACAGATGAGCACAACAAAATGAATGACATGGATGCATAGTTTTGGAATTTCCAGCATACAGTAGACGCATATGATCCAGCAGTTAATAGAGTCCAGGGCCTTTAGGGTACCTGCCAGCCTGTTGACCATTCAACCACGGAGATAGAATCCAGTGGATTTGATTCCATGTGGTGTCATGGATGCATACCGCTGAAAAGTCCCACAATAGAATTAGATAGCTGTCCATTAGCCCCAGCTTCTTTAACTGATACCGATTCATGATCTAACTTGAAGTCAATCAAATCCTCGCAGACCATCACTTGTAGATTTTTAACTTTTTAATTCTAATGATAATAAGGTGATTTTTGAAAACTACCCTGTTGTGAGAAATCTGATGTAATTTCTGCATGGTTGAAGAATATTTGCTGATAGAACATGACACACAGTAATAATGCCACGTCTATTAATAGAAAAATATTTACTTCTAAATGAGTGTCTTTTTGACTTCAGGAAAGAACGTCCTCAACAAACAGAATCTGAAATCGAACTGAAACTATTATCAGCATCAGCACACTTCGAACCAGTCAGAATAATCAGTGTAAGTTAATACATACATACACATGGATATACGCATATTTCAATGCTGGAATTCTGTAAACTAGTTCTTTGTAAATTTCTTTCGTGATAATCACCAACATAGTGTATAAACTTGCCTATATTCGCAAATATAACTTATATTACTTGTAAGTAGTGTCAATAATATCAGTAAAAAGTTTGAGCATTGTGGATTAGATCAAATAAAGTATAATTATATTTCAATAGTTTACTCACAATGATAAGTTTTGTTATTGGTAATATTTCGAGCAAAATTACTGCCCATGTTCACACCACTGTTGGAATTGTTTTATTCGTATATATATATATATATATGAATTTTTGCGATAGTCGTGTGCAGCCTGATAAAATAGAAAAGTCTACCTTATAACACTTCATATTTCAGTGCTATCGGATGACGCGCATATCTAATAATAAAAGCCTTTCTTCATCCGTTCTCATCGCAAAACATCTTATCATCGCCTGACCATACGTGCTTTTGGCCACAAACTTACTTCAGTCGAAAATCCTTTGTAAGTGAAGTGCTTAACAAGAAGTGACTATTCTCATCTACAAAAACGATAAATTGCAGTCGTTATACAAAGTAACAACCACTGCACAGTGTTTCTTCTACTTTGAATACATTTATGGGTTCTTAAAAAGTAACGTATTTAAGTATTATCACAAAAAGAATATTGGGTGAACACTGTTAGATTATCATTAAGAAAAACCTTAAGCTCTAAGTGAAACATTGGGTTTCCATAGCACATCTCCATTTTATCCTGTTCTCTGCAGTCGTCTTAAGCTGCCTCCACGTTCGCCCATAACCTCTCATCTTCTCATTACATGATCTCTTTCATGTTACTGTCAACGCCACGCCCAACATGTGGATTCCCAATTGGATTCCACTCAAATGCCTGCAGTGTGATGTCAGTACTAATAATAATAATAATAATTTTTGCTTTATTCCAAAAACAGTATTAATGATACAGCAAGGAATTTTCAGCATTCAGTACAGTATTGCATCCAATTTACTCAAAAACGACAACAACAAACAAAAAAAATAGATAAACGGAATAATTAATACATAATAATGATAACAAAACGTTTTTATAGGAGCTATGTAGCAATTACAGTATAGGATAAGGAAAAAAATATAAAATTATAGTAATAATAGTAATAACAACTAAAATAAAAATAGCAAAGTTATAATTAACCGATAGAAAGGGTGACACCATAGAATTACAGAAAGATGAACAATGAAAGGGTCGATTCACTATGCTAATTACATAGTATCTTATATGTTTCACGTCTAACAGTGTCTTCATCACATAAAATACGGGCTAAGTACGGTATTGTAGAATTTTTGTACTTAGTGGTACGAGCATATAATATTAGATTGGCACAGTGTAAGTCAAAGTCAAACCTTACATAAAGTCTTTTAACTTTTAACCTCATGAATAATTTGACTTGGGTTTATAATAAATGCCTCTATGTAAATGGAATAACGATGCAACTCTATCCTCTTCTTCTTTTTTTTTCACCTTTCCGTATAAACATAATTTGTAAAGCTCTTAACATCATGCAATTACAAATTAAGTTTAGCGATTCTTGAATCGCCTTATTTGAATGAACTGAATAATTTGTTAACAAGTGAAGAGAAAACTGTTGCACGTCAGCTATTCATCGCTGTATCAAATATACTGAACTCCATACCAGAGTATGCGGACTTTTTAGGCAAAGTTGTAGAACTAACAATCTCAAGGTGAGCTGACCCCTAAATGTTGTTTACCGTTTTACTGCTGACACTATGTAGTTCTGTGTTAATGGTCTTGTTAACATCCTGATTTGAGAGGTGTTTCCAACATCAATTTACACTTCAAGAGATCTGACAAATGAAAGCTTAGGTAGGAGACTAAAACTGTTACCAGGATCTTTATACACAGACTGCCCTTTGTAAATCTGAAATACGGAAGAACAAACATTGTGGTAGAGTAACATGGATCCAGTTCGTTTTCTGATTACTCTTCGACTGAGTACAACACATAACATTTAATACAGCAAGTGGCAACGATGTACAAAACCATCAGTTGACCTAGTATAGCTTTTTAGAGTCATTACACCACCACACGAACAACTTCTCTCCTTTCGAAGCAAGCCTAAGTCTAGGCAATACTGAAAGACACTACCCTTCTCGAATTGCAAACTTAACCTTGTAAGGACACGCACTGAAATCAATCAAGCGCTGTACAACATTGAACTACGTTCGTGAATCTCATTGGATAATTTGACGTCGTTCGCTGATTGGCAGTTACTGGTGTCTAAAGTTTAACTTGGCCCAGCAAGTCATGGCAAAACTTTAACAAAGTTTAATTTATCAATAGGAATCATTCCTTCAGTAAGGAATACAGTAACGAAGTCGTAGGGAACTACAGGGATCCGTAGTCTTAATGGCCTCAACTGTCGTATCAGCCTTAGATGCTGGTAACCGAGAAGAGTGTGATAAATATGTGTAGGTATTCTAAATCATTTGAGCATTTAAACTCATTTTCCCAATGATTTACCAATTCTAGACTCATTGGATAAGCATACTAGGCATACAGATGAACCTTATTTGTAAATGATAATTAGACATTTTGTGTTAATTTGCATCTCTTAGCATGCCGACTTCTAGTGTGGACGCTCTCACAATGTTATTCTTGGTTAGTAGTTAGTAACGGTGGAATCCAGGATGCACTGAATGTGGCTCTCGAAATCGAGAGGCCTAGTGGATAATGCTTTGGCGCTTGAAGGAATGAGTGCAGAGTTCGAATCTCAGTTGGAATAGGATCACTCACTCTGGGATGCATGCACATCCAGAACGAGACACACATCCTGGACTCTACTGCTAGTCACCATTAACCAAAGATAATAGGTCTTGATTCAGGATGATTTCGTTCATTAAAATCTCCCTACACACACTTATTTGATAGAATTCCACCGGCAGTAAATTGAAGTCAAGATAACGTTGCTCTGTATCTAGTCGTTGATTAGTGTAATGGTTAGAGTGTTTTCAATAAGGCAAGCAAACACGTCGAGTGAGGTGACTAAGTTTCCGGAACTATTTGTGTCCTAGTGACTAACATATATGAGATGCAAACCTATCTGCACGGAGTGTAACCAAAAAGTGAAGGATTGTAAAACATGGCTCATTGGAACTAAATAAAGACCACAGAAATTGAATGGACTCTAAAAATAAATCCGTGAGGCACATGACAGCCGAAGTTTGTTTAGTTGCTTACTGTCTTAGACAAAAAGTCTATGAATAACAAATGAATTCATTCGAGAGTCTGCATTTTTCAAATTTCATAAGATTTACTCATAAATTCGACGATTCTTTTTGACCTAATTGAAAACCAATTTCGCGTTTTCCACTCAGCTTTTTTGTAGAAGAATGACCCTTAGTTTATCTCCTTGTATATTTTAGAACAGAAACTGATAAACTGTTCAGTCGGACGAAATTAAATTATGAGGAATGGCCTTTATGGTTTGATGTACTAGTGCAACTGATGTCTGAGCCTCTTGAAAGGTGAGTTAACAACTTGAATAAATGAATTCACCTTAATTATTCTCTCTCCTCAAAGTACACCAGATCAGACTGGCGATCCACTGAAAAGAAGGTTAACAACCAGTAGGAAAGGTTTAAGCTAATAATTATTTATTATTAATTTTTTCTTGTAGTCATCTGAATGTATATTTATGCAAGTCTAATAATTTCCATAGTTATCAATAACGTTTCATGGTTGAGTGGATTCATTGTTAATGCTTGCTGAACTATTGAAATAAAATTAGTAATTCAAATCTCTCATGCACCTGTAGGTTGTTTTAGGTAATCCTGCATTCACTGACACTTACGAGCACTTTAGGATATGTTTATTCTGAGTGATGACCATCGAACCAAGTTCAAAGTAGCATTTACGCTGCATCAGAAATGAGTAGAATCATGGTTAGGATAGTTCAGAGTGTAAGAACGATTACGAAGAATTATGACCTCTTAAGACTTTTAGCCATGTAATTAACTAGAACTTATATTCCCTGCCAACTGACTTGCATCTGAAATTATTTTTAACAGGAGTAAATTGTATCTGTGGAATAAAGAGATAATTTGATTCATCGAAATTGGTGTGACTCTCAGTTCCTCCACTTATTTTAGTGAATATAACACGATATGCATCTGTAGGATTGTCATATTATTTTATTCCTTTTCGTTCCGAGTGTAGTAGAGAGCTTCAAACTTGGACTTTGAAGTTTCAGTGGAAGTGGCTACTGGCCACATAACCAGCTTCACTCTCTACTGGGCCTACTATCGGTTTTAGAGTGCGTCGACAGGGGATGGAATGCCAGATTGAGTGAGTAGTTGGCAAGTATTCTATCGCTGGATCACAGAAGCACAAACTGGGGAGCACTGAACAGTTGTTTCGTCCTTGTTTTGGACGCTTTAGTGGCACACACCTGTGATCCCCACCAGTGGTCGCACTCAGGACCTTCAGGTTACAAAGCAAGCTCACTGACCACCTAGCCAGTGGAACTGGTGTCGCGAGCAGGATACGAACCTGTGAGGGGAAACCCCATTGAATTTCGTATCTGTCGGAGTTATACCATTATTATTATTATTGTTCCCTTGGGTTCCTAGTGGAACATAGGGCTTCAACTGCACGTCTCCACTTGCTTCTGTCTTCTGCTGTACTTTTCACCTGCATCCATGTTAGTCCATACTGTTTCAACTCCTCTTCACACGATCTCCTCCATGTCACCCTTGGACGTCCCACTCGCCGTCCAATCCATCTCCACTTTCTCCTGCGTAGTTGTTGGGCGATTGGTTCTTGTTTTATTTGTTCCCATAGCTTCTTGTTTGTGATTCTTTCCGGCCATCTGATCTTGAGTATAGAACGAAGACAGCTGTTGATAAAGGTCTGCAACAGGCTGTTGGAAATATTCTTTGTGACCCTCCAAGTTTCTGATCCATCCGTATAGAAGAACTGACTGACTTGACGTTTGTATTGAAAATCCGAAATTTGTTGTTGATGCTGAGTGAGTGACGAAGATTTCCAGATTGGTTTCAGGTTGATGAATGTGTTTCTCGCCTTCCCGATTCTCGATTTGACATCTTCGTCCGTTCCTCCTGCAGTTGAGACAATGCTTCCTAGATAAGTGAAAGAAGTAACCTCTTTCAAACCCCTCTCGTTGATGGTGATTGGCGCTGGATGTTGCTGATGCTGTTGTTGTTGTTGTTGGTTGGTTATTTTCATAACCTCCGTCTTGTCTATGTTCACCTGGAGTCCTGTCCTTGCTACTTCTTCGACCAGTTTGTGGGTTTTCGCTTGTAAGTCTTTGATTTTGTGTGACATCAAACATAAATCATCCTTCCTTTTGAGTTGAACCTGGCTGTCATTATCCTGGAGGAGATTGGTTCCCACTGCATGAGAGCTTTGGCTGCTGTTGGTGATATCATGATGGCCACTCCTTCGGTGTGCTCGTGATTGTCCTCTGGATGACCGGAGTATATTATTGTCTCTCCAGTTGGTAGTTGGCTCCTTTCACATCCGTTCCATCTACTCTCGCAGATTCCCAACACTTCTGTTTTATATCTTCTCATTTCTGCGGCTACCTGGGCAGCCTTTCCAGTTTCGTACATTGTACGAATATTCCACGTCCCCATCCTTATTTTTTGCTTTCATCGAAAGAAGGCATATCGGCTGACTGGCTTCCCGAAGGCTTTTACCAGCCTGCGTCATTTCACTTCTCCGATTCCAGCGAAAAATGAGGTTATTGTTTATGTTTTTAGAATTTTTGATATATTTGTGCGTTGAATTTTCTGTAGCAATTTGGTAAAGTTTTGGGGGTGAAGTTGCCAGCACCACGCCCCAACTCTCCCTCTTTATCCGGGCTTGGGACCGGCTAGAAAACTAGTGAGCTGGTAATCTAAGCGAGGTTGAATTATACCATAATAATTGATTAAAGTAAACAGTAAGTCATCGAACGAGAAAATCTACTGGTTGAATCAGGAACTAAAATGACGTGTTTGTCTTTTAAACAGTGTGTTCACTTCAAAGAAATACAGTATGGTGAAGAAATATTGAAGACAATTGGAAGAGTATTGAAAACTATTAATAGCTAATATGTCCATTGGTGGCTGAAGACATTTTTAATATCCTCTATAAGCTAACCGTTGGAAATACATCTCAATAAATAATTCGGCACTACTGACAAAAAATTTAAAAAAGAGGAATCCTTTCTCACCTATGAAAACAAGTTGATCCCAACCAGTCTTGTGTATCCACCTGAACTGTTAAATTGTCTACCTAACTACAATACAGGTAACCCCACAAGTCTACATTAGAAATCCGAGCTTCCATTACACCACTGTTATAATATTAGTTGTTATTCACCTTATTAATTATTTTTCACGGTGATTATACATTCTCTGTGACACCTGATCACCACAGAAGAGTCCAAACTAAACCATGGAATCTTTGAGACCATAACAAAACAGCTGTCCAATGCTGCTTGGTAGTTTGCGATACAGATTAACTATTTCTTCGTAAAGTTATGGATGGATAATTACAACTGTAAATGAAAATAGTATTTGTTATTATTAAAACATAAACTTGGTACATTATTGGCACGAATAGATTTGACACACAAAATCTCCTCCTTTGTTGGAAGGCTGGGATACTGCCTGGATGCCCAGAAAGAAGCAAGTGGTTGACTTAATAGGGCCACCTGAAGCCTGATCTACATGGTAGTATAGCAGCGTCAGAAGCTGCGTTCCTACGGCTTCCAGTGATCAAGCCAGGTTCATACACCACTCTATCCTTTCAGATTTTGGAGTTTATGTACATCATAGGTTTGGGGTAAGGGTTTTCCACCTGCCCTAGGTAGACCTATATGTCCAACAGTCTGGTTGTAAGCGCCAGACGTTTTCATTCACCCTTTCACTTTTGTGAGGAACACTCCAAGTAAAAGCAGAGGATAGGACTCACATGGCAGAGGGGATATACCCGTGACCACATGAGAGGATCTCGAGAGGAAGACCGAAATTTTCACACCCCAGGCCACACTAGGTCGTTTATGAGGGCATTAATGAAACTAGAACGTCTCTAATCATAGGCCCTTAAATCTTGTTTTTAGTTTTCATGTTATATCTTCTGCAATTAATTCTCAGAATATTAAATACGAATGAAATATATCACACTTATTGGTACATCTTGTTTTGATTTTTTTTAAACACGCTGAAATTAATTTAAATAATTTGTAATTAATATCTTCGTTGTAAAAATCACACGCATTTAAATTTCATGTTAATGATCACTAAAACTGATGCTTAAAATGTGTCAAAAGCATCCTTAAGGAAAATGCATTTCGAAAAGGCATAATCCATGGAGGGGCATCTCATCTACACTCAAAAAAACATGTAATGGCTACTACATATTAACTGATTAAAAATGCCAATTAAGATTTTCAAAAGAACAGTTACTGAACAAAGAATACTCTTTTCTATAACTTCATCATCAGGCTATACATAATAGTAGGAAATGAATGAATTAGTGTTATGAACAGCATTAATGTTTAAGTAACAGCGAATCACTAATATCAGTCGATTACAGTTTAATAGCATCAACATATCAGTAAACTGAATGTCAGAAAAATTAGGAAAAATGATAATACAAACTCATGAATTTCTAGTCTCTACTGAAGGCTGGCCAGGGCATTAGTAGTGGCTGGACTTGCTTCTTTTGTACACAAAGCACTGGTTGTTTCACTACATATTACTCGAATTCAGGCTTCAAATGAGTATACACCTAAACAATGGTATTTCAGCTGTGCCTACTACCTCTATATTTCAGGCAGTTATAAGGCTGGACATTGTAATTACATAAACCAATGGTTTTCTGATCAATGTAAACGTTTGAATGACTGGCATTTTCAACTAATAGTATTTATCAAATAAGTAAGAAGGAGGACTACCCAAAGTCTGTGTCCTGAAATTGGATTGTGCTGATGACGTGTCAGACGTGATTTTGAGTATGTGAACACAGATATCAATGAAGACAAATATGCCATCATCTGTGCAAAGCTGATTGTAAATCTGATTTCTCGATCCTGCCACTTGACAATGACTCACTCATTCTACTGCACTGAATGAATAAGAATAAACAGTGGCGCTTGTTTTTTCAACTTGATTTATCAATCAAGTTGGTCAATTAACCGGTGTATAGACATTAGCTCTCAGACCTATGTATCTTCACCGATGCGAAATATATCTCAGTTTTGCAGTCACTCTGAGATTACGCATCTTTAAATACTTACTTTAGCTTCCCTTGATCCTGTTCATTAATTTGATTCGGTTTTTTTGTTCTAGAATATGGATTCGTTTCAAAGAGTTGAAGTATCAGAGATTAGAAGAAGATGAATCTTTTCAAGACTATAATTTATCGGATAAATTAAACGAGAATCCAGAAATTGTGTTCGCTAATTATACTCCTAGAAGAAGAGCTTACTGGGATGATTTATTCCCATCTGATCAAATGCCATGTGGATGTCCAGTGTTAGAACCATTTCATTTTAATGACACATGTCAACTTCCAGTGTCGAATACTCCTGATAATAACAGTATTTCAGCTAGTTCGGATAAATATCAGTCGAAAATCACGTCAAAACTGGAGACTGAACAAGAAATTAGTAATTATTCAAATTATTATCAAAAAGGCGGCTTCAGTAAACAGATATGGTTTGAACTGGTGCATGATATTATACGTTTGCCGGTAATAAACTGTTCTGCCGGTGTACAGTTGGCACTAGCTAAAATTAATGATATCGCAATGGACAAACTAGCTGAGCATTCACAAGATATCAACACTGGCTGTGGTGATTTACTCTATGGACAACATTTTGCAATACATCTGGTGATATTATTTTTAAATTATCGCATAAACGAAGAGATTAAAATGAAATTGTCCAATGGTGAATATGAGAATCAAGAAAACTCGGATGTTGAACGCTTACAATATTTAATATTGCTAGAATATTTATGCTCCTTGTTAGACTTGAATGTTGAAAATGAAGGTTAGTCATTTATCTAGTTGATTAAATATGCGAAAAACACACGATGGATCATTTTCAAGTATACACGTTTATAAGTCCTTGGTGTAAGGATAATAACGAAGGGAAGAACAAAATCACGGTGATCTTTTCTCTGGGGTAGACTAATGAAAGGTGACTAGGGATATGTATGTCAGTCATCCGTCTGTTGATAACAAGTATTGTTTCTCATTATCATTATTCAATCACATCTCACAGGATTTCATCAGTATTTGCATCAGGGACAGATGGGAAAACATATGATGTGGATTATTTATGGAACAACTGTCTATCTCGCCTGAGATCTTAGATGTACGCTACTGAGAAATTCCAAAACTAGGACGAAACCACTTGCTTTTCAGTTCTCATTGGTTTTCATTTGTTTTGCAGATGACTAATACTATCCCGAAATCAACTGATTCTCCACTGCTTTGTACAATGGATGTCAACTAAATATTCACTTGTGATTCGTTGGAAGATAAAATTCCTGAAGTTGCGTTATATTATATTATTACTGTTCCCTTGGTTTTCGAGTGGAACAATGGGCTTCAACAACACACCTCCACTTTGTTCTATTTTCTGCCATCCTCTTCATCTGGGTCCACGATTGCCGATGATCCCTCATCTACTCTGCCCCAATACAGGATCTCCCCCATGTCACCGTCGCACCGACGACCTACTCATCGTTCCCCATTCGGGTTCCACTCAAGCAATGGCCTGGAGTACGATGTCATTCGACAATCTCCTCAGCATATACCCAGTCCATCTTCATCTTCTCCTACATATTTGTTGAACCATAGGTTCTTGATTGGTTTGTTCCCAGAGTTCCATTTTGCTAGTTCTATCTGGCCGGCCATTTGATCCTCAATAAGAAGTGAGAGAAGGCAGCTGTTGATAAAAGTCTGCAATCTGTTGGAAATGCTTTTCGTTATGCGCAGTGCAAGTTTCTGACTCATATCAAAGAGCTGACTGAACTGACATTGGTGTTGAAAATCCGAATCTTGTTCTTTATGCTGGCTGAGTGAAGCAGAAGATTTCTAAACTGATTTCAGATTGATTAAGGTGTATCTCCCCTTTCCCATTCTGGCTGGCTGACTTTGACGTCTTCATCCCTTCAGACTGCCTGTGGTTGAAACAGTGCTTCCTGGTGAAATCAGTGAAGGAAGTAACCTCTAGAAGTTGTAGAGACGGGTTATTTCAACTGTGTCTAATTAAGTTACATGTCAAGGTAGACAGTACATGATAGTCACATTAGTCTAACAAGTATATATTTGAGGAAATTAAAAGTCTTTTCCTTACTAGTCTCTTGAAGAATTATATATATATATACATGTAAATATTTCGGATTCGATTGTTCCACTACATTATGCTGCTACATTCTGTATTCACCTTGTTTCAGAAATCTATGCTTGTAAAAAACGTGCTAAGGCGTTTCTGGACGAACGAAAATCTGAGGGCAGGTTAGTTTATCTTACTACCGCGAATGTGCATGCTTATTAAATCATTATAAAATAAACCACATTTAGTATTTATTTTATTTATTTTGTTTCACAATGTTGATTGAAATAAATTTTACGGAGGATTGAATTTCTCTGAATATAAGCTAAAGGGTACAGATTGACACGAGAGTTAACAGACTCAGCGTTGATAGTCAACTGACAGGTTCAATGAATGGATGCAATCAATGGCAAGTCGTAGTAGTGACAAGGTGCTTTGTGACATCGACTCACCATCAGTATTTAAAATCTTGAAGACGCTTAAACTCAATATATTTGTGTATGTGTAAGAGTTGTAGAGTTATATATTCGTTATGATTGTGAAGAATAAGTTGTGTTCTAAACGACGTTATTCAGCAAATAATACTGTTTCACTGAGTGACATTTCTAATTAGCAGACCAATATGAAAGTTTATACTCATTTCAAGATTTAAAGGCATGTGACTCATTGAAGAAGGTGAATTATAGTAAGACTGAACGATTTACACATACTACTAACATGAAATTAAATGGCTTAAGACTTCCAGGGCTCTATGTTGCATTTACTTCGTCAATAAATCGGTATGCCTTGAATTTAATTCTTTTTTGCCGTTAATTAATAAAGAGTAGCACTCGTTTTTAGGGGCATCCAAACATTTGTAGAGATACTGTTTCTTCATAGATGGTTGATATACTCTACAACAGATTATGAAAATAAAACTTAGGAATTTATTAAAACTACATTAAACTATCTAGTGTCAACATAGTGCACCAACGCTTTGAGTTGCTTATCTTCATGTTCATTCGTCTGTGCTCCGAGTATAATTTAAGGTTTCAAGCTTCGGTAGATAGGCCCACTGCCTGTGTCAGCCTGGAGGAGAATTTGGATCACTCGTGTGGTTGACGATCATTCAACAATTGAATTACCAGTTCTTTTCATTTTGACGCTAAATACTGACTGGACTGACAAGTTGCAGTCTATACCTTAAACAAGAAACCATGATGTCTGTTAGCACTTAGTCAGTGGTGAGTAAAGAATATGATTTCTCTCAAATCTTAAACATTTCGTCTAACATTTGTTCACTGTCACGAGTTACTCACTTATCATTCATGGAATGATTGGATTTATCTTCTCGCGTCATATTAAACTATTCTGGGAGAAAAATGTACACTTTACCAACCATACTAAGACATTTCAATGTTGTATGTGCTATGTGACTGCTCAGAGGTAAATATTCTTATGCCCTTCACAATTTAATAAGTCGAGTATTTATCACTATTGTCACTGTAGTCACGACAAAGAGTCTTACAGCACAGATATCTACTTCATCAGGACTAAAAGGAAAATGTAATCTGTAACTCAATAATTATAAACCAACACTTTAGATCCCAAAAATACCGCATTCATCTGTATGATATTACCTTGGCTTCGATTGAAATTTTCTCTAGACTGATGTTGCTCCGGGTAAATCCCTCAGTGATAGTCCAGTTACCCTTTTCAGTATGATTTAAGAGTTGTTGTTGTGTGGTTGGAGATAATCAGTGGGAGAACTTGTACCTAGATTTCGTACTTGTTAGTGCTTGTCAGGAAGGCATATCTGCAGTTCTGAAGGCAATCATGCCTCTTCTGAGATTCGCCCTCGGGTCACTCAGTGCTGCAGTCAGAGACGTCACCACTGACCTACTCGGGCTGGTCGTTGATTGAACGTTGGCAGATGACGTGATCTTCTTATGAATATGTGTATAAAACTACGCTACCACTGGTTTAACGTTGTCTCTCTACACGGTGTTTTGCCTGTTTTTTCAGTGAATTCTACTTTTGTGTCTATCGCATTTCTCTCACCCCAATGACTATAAAACAACATTATATCACCCAATTGTTCATTCACACTTCATCACATTTTTCTGGCTATACACCCTATACACATTTGATTGACTATGTTAACTAATGGACTATCACCTCAACTTACACATGCATCCCAATACAGTTTCTGATATTATTTTCATTTGCCTTTATTGGCTATATGTACCCTATTATTCATGGATTTATAACTGTAGAGCCTGAAGAAGAAGTTATCGAAAACAATTGTTCGCTCAAAATCTTGTTTTGATTTCTATGAATTCTACTTATTTTCGCAGCTATCACTCGCATGACTGTGATCCATCCACATCAGTTGTCGAGATGTATCTGTCTTGTTTTGATTGAATGGTTGAGACCTCCTACTTTCACTAGTTAACACACTAGTCGTATCTGATTTCCATTTTTGTTCTGTTTTCGTTTCCAGTGATTCTGAGCCAGTCATAACAGGAAATTCAAGTAAAATTTTCAAGAATATCCAAAATCTACGATTTGTGCAACACAAAGGTTAGTTGAATTTGTTGAATAACTAACTCTCTGTCTTCTGTTTCAGCATTACCAGATTTATTCTTTATGCATGAATTTCTACATGCGAATATAACTTGGGTCGGTGAACTGATTCGTAGTGGAAAAAGTCATGAAGGTCCAGCAACAGTTATTCCACGCTTCCAACTCAATGACAATTCCAATTCAAGTGTATGCGTTCAATTAATCAACCCTATCGAAGTGAGTGATTATGTTAAATTGACTTAGAAGCAGAAAGGCTTTGTAGAAGCAACTACACTTTACTATTATTACGCCATTTAGAATATTACTTGTAATTGATTAGTGGGTAGAAATGAATGTCCCAGTCTGAAACAAATGGTTTGAAATTCATCACATTAGAGTATCTTCAACTGAAGTAGAAATAAGATATGAAAGCAAACTATGTTGAGGCAGTTTTGTAGTATACTTGTTTATAAATACATCTGTTGATATTTACATGAAAAGCTCTGAAAAATTGAGGTAAACACTCAAAAGTTTTAAGGCCTGCTTGAAAATGACTATAGAGAAACGTTTCGGAGATTCCTATGAATGACTTGCAGTGTCATTATTAATTCAATCTAAGCAACAATATTCCGAGGATACAGCTGGTCATGATTACAGTAATATCAAGGTATTCTGTTTAAATCTCTGGGTTAATTGGAAGCGGCTAAATGTAGTTTGGAGAAATTAAACCATCGGGTCGAGACAGGTTATTTATTATTATCCGACTGAACAACCTAGAAGCTTGACCTTATGCAACCAACAGAATTCGTTAAATTCATACCTTAATTCCCCTTAGTGAATTTGAACAAAGCAAGAACTACAGTTTTAGCAGAATAAAGTGGTACCATCTTTTATTTCGTTGCCTTCTCGTCAGCTGCTTACAGGGCAAAGACATTATTAAATATATCTACAAAAACAATTTTAACATACTTGCACAGAGTTCATTTTAAACAAAAATCAATCGATCAGTATACGCATACACTAATAATATAAACATATATATATGTAATATTAAACACTATTCCGAACAATAATAATCATACACAATGGAAACTTTTCAGCATTTCGCATTCGAATGAAAGAGAGATGAAAAATATCCAGTTACCAGGGCAAAGAAAGACTGATAACCGCTTCTTTCTGGACGCATAAATCAGGTTTCAGGCGCTTGATGGAAATGGCTTCAGCAAACTTAAGGAGAATTGAGCTCTTTTGCCTACTGATAATTTTGAACGACTTTTCGACGTCCACCTCATGACCCGTGTCGAAGAGATGCCTGGCGATGGCACTGTTTAAAGCATTTATTCCCTTTAGATGTAAGCTTTTTGGTACATGTTCAGAAAATCGTAGATATGCTCTTCTTTCTGTCCTTCCAATGTAACTGCTTCCGCAGAATTCGTTATCATTTAGCTTAACTTTCCGAGGTACGTGTTATTTCTACATGATGCATATTGTACAATAAAAGCGAATTGTTCTCACTGACATCGACCAGTCTGTCTTCTATCTTTATTTTCGTTGGTTAAGGGCAACTGAATTGATTAGCAGTTGACATCTGGTCTTCAATCATGTTGGCTGTTGCTTTTCAGTTCCGAAACCACAAGCAAGTGTAATTATTACATCGCCAGTAGATATAACACAGGCTATCTAGCTTTGAATCCAGAAAAGTGCATCCAGTTTACTCTATTTCATACTGTTTTAATCAACTCATTATTACCTTCAATCTCTATCTGTATTCATGCCCACTCCTAAATAGATTTTGAGTCACTTCTATGCATTTTCCAAAGAAATTAAGGGGAAAGGATCGGGAGGGATTGCACCGTACTTCAGATAGAAGAATACTGCTTCAAATGATACATTATCGATTATTAATCATCTGGAAGATTCGACATAGGTAGTAGTGAATATTTAAGAAGAAATCATGCTGAGAATGCCGTATTGCGTGTAAACGCGGTATTCTGGATAAGGCGATTATTACCACTGTTGGTATATTGGGGATTATAAGACTGTAAATTGTCATTTAATTGGGCAGAAAACATGTTCCAGGTTTTTATTTATGCTGTTGTATAGACAGGAAAGGGTTACTGGACAATTTCATGCTTCATTCAGCCACTCACCATAAGTTACTTAGTCTATCTATGCATGATGCTTTATACTACTGACTAATTGATATGAGTAGTTGGATACCACTCATCTCAGTCAGCTAGTAGTGCTTGCTAGCCAGATTGAAGTGAACGAATCACCGGACAGGCGTACTACAACTAATCTGACTGGCAAGCACTACTAGTTGATGCGAGTGATATCCTACTACTACTCACATCAGCCAATCAGTAGTATATATCGTCAGGCATTTATGCTTGCTTTCATGATAACCACTTATAGGAAGTATCCAGCAAATCACATACTGTGATCTGAATAATTTCAGGTCAGTACCTAGTGACACTTCTGTCGAATCTCACCTGAAACTGTGTAATTCAATACCTCATTTTCGACTTACAGTATTTATTGTCTACCATGTATATGTTTAAAAGTTTAATAATCTTTTATTGATTTGTATATTACTTACTATTTAGGAAATCAACTGGGAGGAGATATATTGTACTAATATTGGACTTCAAGAATTATAATTTGAAGAATTCTCCTAAATAATCTGTCAAAATTTGATGCAGGCAGTTTAACTTTCACTGTGGCTGAAAGTAAAAGTCAAAATGAAATCATTATACTTACTTCTACAACAGATATTGTGATATACTGTGATATTTTCTGAGCATTTCTCAGGCTCACTTGAAATATTTATTAAGTGTAGTATATCGATTGCATTTAAATCGTATTTCAGATATATCGTGATTTTTTGTTGTTGAAAATGTGGTCTTTTCTTCCTTTCATCATATTTGCTTAACATCTTGAATTATGGTTTTATCAAAAGTTGAGTGGTGCAATAGGTAGCAGAGATGACAAATGGAGGTAAATGTCCAGTGGATTTTTCACATGCTTTCAAAATACTGCCAGCCAGACTACTCAGAGTAACTGTCTCAATAAATGTAATGGATGATATATCTGGAAGATGTGATAAGTATTCAGAAGATACTGGAAGGTTCCATTATGGGTAAATAAATATCCTTTAAAATTCATTAGGAAGATTGAAAAAGGCCAAAAGAAAAATAAAAATAATTGTGAAACTAGTAATAATAACATAAATAAGAGAGAATATAAGTCATCTACAGTTATACCATATAAAGAGGGGACATCTGAGACCCTACGCAGGATTCTAAATAAAGCAGGAATTAGGGTGGCATTTAAACCTACAAACTCACTCAGGGACAAGCTCTGTAGGTTAAAGGACCCAGTGGACCCAGTTAAACAAAATAATATAATTTACAAAATACCCTGCAATGACTGTGAGGTCAACTACATAGGTCAAACTAGTAGGTCTGGGGTAGTCAGATTGTCGGAACATAAGAATTTAGCTAAGGTAAGAATGGTTGACCCAGAGAAGATAAGTAATTTAGAATAAAGCTCAGCAATTGCAATGCATGCATTAGCACACAATAAGGTGGGATAGGGTTAAAATTCTAAAAAGTAATCTAGGTAGGTGGAGAGAGAGGTTGATTACTGAATCCTTGTTCATCGAATCTACACCCAACACATGCAATAGGAATGATTCATCACTCATACCCGAAATATGGAAAATATTACTACCAATCAAATCAAGTGAAAAACAATGGAACTATATTAATGAATTTAGGAAGTCGTGTGATTACCTTGATATGATTATGAGCAATAAATTGTGCTCGAAACGTCATCAGTAGACATTACTGTATAACACTGTGAGACTTTATCAAAACAAAATTTACCCATAATGGAATTACACTCTACCACAGTGCACAAGTTTTATTCTTATATCAATGATACTGGAATGTGTTAGTGTCTTCAGTTGAATAATCTTTGAGGACAACAGATCACTCCTTGGGAAAACGAAGGTAATGAAGTTACCTCTACCTACAGGTTTGAGTGTAGGCATTCCTAATAGACACTACTTGTTATCAACTGGTTATATTAGTATAACGGCAGAGTCACCTCAACACCATAAGTACATGAATCACCTTTGTAGACTATCAGACTTCTTCCTTGTAAGCTGCTTATTTTTCCATTACTACGCCTTGCTAGCGACTATCTGAAATTTTTTCGGTTTCCACAACTTAACCTTTACATATTTTACCAGATAGCTCAAAGGTTTATGAAGATCAGGACCTGCGACTTTCAGTCTGTGGAAATAGTCATTATTGAAAGGCTTTGGAAGAGTATTTTGAGTGATCAGGTGTAATGAGTAGAATTCGTCTGTGATACCGTGTCACACTACTGCCATACTTAAGGATTAGTCAGATATTCGGAACCACTGATCTATAACATGAACTTATATGTTAAATATCCAGATCTCAAAGATCCTCGACCTATCGCTGGTTTCAGAAGACTACGCCTTGTACGCAGAATACAATGCACTGTAACCAACGAGGAACAACAGAAGACCGAAATACAATGTGATTGCCTATTCTTTCACCGATAACGAGACAAAAATAAAGGTTACTGTAAGCAAATTCTGTAAAGAAACGTTAGTAGTATGTACAGTTGTACTTCTGATCGTATTTCTCCCGTATTCTGCCAACCAGAAGTATACGACTAAGCAATGATAGTCTTCCTGTCTCCCGCCAAATTGACACCAGTTCGAATAAACAAACGATTCGATGTTCACCAGCTTTGACAATATATATATATATATATGTTCACCTTATTCCAGAGGTTTTATGAGCTAAGACACCTGAATTCTTCCTATTACAAATGTAGTTGTTGTACATTTAACATGTAAGTCTCTATGTAATAGTGTGAATACACTTCTCGTCTTGTCAATCACTCGTGTAGGCTAACCTCTTTCAACACTAAATAAACTTCAAAGAATACGCTAAAACAAACTGGCCTCTGTAACTTGAAAATGAAGACATTACACGTATCTGGTAAACATTATCTGAAAGACATACACTTGTTATATGAGTCATTCTTCATTACCTGTTGAGGATAAGTCGTCTATCACTGCATTGTGGCTATAAACAGTCATTATATTTCCTACAATTAAAAATCGAATTGTGCTCAAAATTGGATACTAAATATATCCCACTATTCATCGCAAAGCCATTCACAAAGAAAGCCCCCATGCCATTTAGCTGTATCACAAACACCAGTCTGTTAGTTTCTTTCAGTAGTGAAAAGAGTTAGCGCTAAAATTTTGTCTGGACACATGGTGCATGATTCACAATTCAACCATACACCTTAAAGAACTCATTTACATCAAGAAAAAGTAGTGAGAAAATACGTTTATGGTTATATATTGTTCACTAGTTACTAGCAATTTCAATAAAATAATTCAGACTGGCAAAACTGTATGTATACTTGCTCACCTGAATAATTCAGTTTGAACGTACTCACACCACGCTCATCACTATTTATTATTATTACCTTGGATGCACAGTGGAAGATATTGCCTCAATAACACATCTCCATTTCGTCCTATTCTATGCGGCCCTTCTTAGTTGGCCTATTGATTACCAATAACCTATCATCTCTTCCTTACACTGTCTCCTCAATGTGTTCCACTCGATTGCATGTCTTGCTGGCGATGTCTCTCAACAATCTCCCCATCCTGTGTCTGCTCCATCTGCATCTTCTTAGGCATATCTGTTGGTCAATATGCCCTTGGTCAGTTCGTCCCCACAGTTACTTGTTGCTAATCCTTACTGGCCATCTGATCTTCTGCATTGAGAGAAGGGTGCTGTTGATAAAAGTCTTCAGTCTGTTGGAATTGCTTCTGGTGACGCACCAAGTCGCTGATCCATATGGAAGAACTTATATGATATTAGTTTCAAAAATCCGAATCTTCTTCTTCAAGCTGATTACAGCACACTAACTTCAGATTAATGAAGGTCTGTCACGCTTCTCCGATCCTACCTTTGACATCCTCATCTGTTCCGCCTATAGGTGAAACGGTGATGCCCAGATAAGTGAATCGGGTCACTGACTTCAAATTTATCTCTTTGACGGTAGTCGATGCTTGCTGTTGCTTGTTAGGTATCTTCATTACATCATGATCATATATTCCTTTAAATTCACAGATGCAAAACTAATTAACCTGAGAGTTTAAGAACTACCGAATTCACTGAACGGTATGTAATGGAACACATAGTAGAATCTTGACACCCAGTCCTATTTCAGGATTTTAAAAGTGGAACTGCACTTTAAGAGGCACCTAATCACTATAATCTTAATACTAGAAATCTAACTTCATAGACAAATATTTAGCACCAACCCTCCCGTCCATCAAGCGCTTTGATCAGCTGGTTATAGCTAAAACAGAAATTCCTCACCACAACAAGTGATCGGTAACGATTCATACTAATCAGTATTATCATTATTATTCCCTGAGGTTCCGAGTGCAACATCAGGTTTCAGTTACACATCTCCATTTCATCCTGTTCTCTGAAGTCTCCTTTAGCTGGCTATATAACTGCCCATGTTGAGAGTTAAGTGTATTCAGGTCATTGTAAACTAACTGATATTCGTCTTGCCACCTACTGCAACTTAAATTTCAGATAATTTATTTAATTATTTAATCTCACCTAAATCTTCTTAATCAATATTAATTGAACACTGACATCATTTTTAAAGCAGTTTCTTGAAGAAACCTTTTACACACATCCATTACACTCTGTAACTTTGTGTTCTGGACTACTAAATGACTATGCTATGGGCATTAAAGATGGAAGATTTGAGAGGGTGTCAGCTATTCGACTACATTTATTTGGTAGAAGCCTCATTTAGCAGTGTGTAGAGGCCAAGGGTGATGTTTTACGTAGAAGTGATAAGTCACTTGATGAGGTTGTAGGCTTTCATCTCTTCAGATTCCTAAGACATATCTATCCTTGCCTACTCACTAATTATGTCTTCGGGAAATATTAGCTAAAGCAGATTTGTGCTGAGAGAATCAAGTTGGGCTAATAAGACCATAAGACATCATATCATTGGTTAAATCCCTTAAAGTTTTATGGGGATAGTGTAGAAAAGTCAAATCCAACTGACTGATATCTACTTAGTGACTTAAACCCACTATAAGAGACTGGTGATGGATGGCATATCTCAAAACCAACTAAAGTGAAACACTCACTTATAATTCACCCTATCTCAATCGTAGTATATTTTTTGGTCTGTCTTACTTAACAAACCGAGACTAAAAACTTTTATCATTATGAAATAATAAAATGCCTCATAGTGGAAGCGTGTCTGTTATTCCTATGACAAAAAAACCTTATATGAGGAAACATTGCAAAAATGAACACCAGTGGGGGTATGCTACTAATAAGATTTATCAGTAGTATATAAAGAGAGGTTTATCGGAACAGAAATATCGAATAGCATAGAAATAGATTTGAAATCGTAGGGGGTAAATGAGTCAGTATTGTGGCCAAACATGGAAGACACGAAAAGAAGATAAAGAAACACAATACGAAGGGCAAAAGTTGCACAGCATGGAAGATCTGAGCGAACGACGACTCTAATATAAGGTATACACAATTTTCCTATTTATCTATATCAAATTCCAAATAAACGTTCTGTTACCAAGTCTCCTGTCTCCTCTCATTACACCAGTGGAAAGAAACTAATCATCAATAAGTAAAAGTGGCATTAGTGAGTCGCTTCGTGTTAATCTATTAGCCACATGACTTGGGGATACCAACTATACAATAAGTAGTTAGTAGAAAATAATTTAGACTATGAGCTGAAGTAGGGAT